GGGAGTGCACCTCCCAGGCCACTCGGGGCTGACGACAGCGCCATGCACGTCGACGATCCACTGGCTGCACCATCCGCCCCTGCTCCGCTCGCCCCTGCAGAGTCAGTGGACTCATTTGCTAGTGAGACTGTGCCGTGGGCGGCTGGAGCGCGCGCGCTCTGCAAAAAAACGCATGGCTGCAACCCGCGCCGTGCGCGGCTGGACACGCTCGTGCTGGGTAACAATGCATGGCTGGAGCCCGCGCCGTGCGCGGCTAAACACGCTCGCGCTCGGGAGAGTGCATGGCCGGAACCCGCGCCGTGTGCAGCTGGAAACGTTCGGGCTGGGCGCAAACATGCATGGCTGGAGCCCGCGCCGTGAGCGGCTGCAACGCTCGCGCTCTGTGAACCTACGCCGTGGGCGGCTGGAACGCTTTCGCTGAGCTGGAACCCACACCGTGGGCGGCTGAAACACTCGCGCTGGGTACAAATTATGGGCTGGAGCCCACACCGCGGGCGGTTGGAACTTTTTCCTTTGGTAGAACTGAGGGCTGGAACCACCCCTTCTTGTCGGCGTAGGTGGCTGGAGCACTTTTCCTTGTCAACATTGAGGACTGGAACTTCACCCAGTTTGGGGCTTCAGAGCTATAAATCAGCCGGGGGGAGGCGGGGGTCGGGCCAGGGGCGGGGTCCTAGCATTGTATCCGCGCCTCGCTCCCAGACTGAGTGAGTCCTCGCGCTCGTCTGTCTGTCAGTCGGTCCGTCGGTTGTCGTCGTCAGTCGTCGTCGTCTCGGTCCGTCGGTCGGTCGGTCCGTCGGTCGGTCCGTCGGTCGGTCCGTCGGTCGTTATCGGTCGTCGTCCCGGTCGGTCGGTCGGTCGATCGGTCGTCGCCAGTCGTCGTCGATTCGGTCGGTCGGTCGTTCGGTTTGGTCGTCGGGCGTCGGTCGGTCGTTCGTCGTCGTCTGTCGTCGTCGTCTCGGTCGTCGGTCGTCGGTCCACAGCCGGCATCCGCCCGCGCCATGGCGCGCTCTGAAAGCCTGCCACTGTAGCAAAAACGGCTACGCATGCAATGGGGTTGAGATTAAGACGGCGGACCCCAAATCTGCTCGATATGATATGCTCGTTAATATTTCACTACCAACCATTGTCCACTAATTGTAGAGAACAAGGCACTTCCCAGGCCATGTGGGCTTTCGACGCCGCAGTCGATGCTGCCGTACTGCTCGCTGCTGCTCCGCTCGCTCCTGGGGAATGCAATTCCCAGTCCACTCGAGCTGACGATGTCGCTCGCCTGCTCCAGTGAAACACTCGCGGCTGCCTGCAAACGACGGCGATTCTGAGCTCAGGGCGATGCGCCGAACCTGTGGCACCATCTGGCTCCACCACGGTTCGCACCCCTTCTGCATAGCAATGGTTGCGCCCTTGCCATGGGCTGTTGTCTGCGACGGGACGCGGGCGCCATGCTGCGAGGGTGTGCCACCGACCAGCGCACGGCCCAGTCGTGGCAGAAGGTCATGCGCAGCGTGGGGCGGACCACACAGCACTCGGCCTGTGGAGATCGCGGCGAGACAAAGACTCACCTCAAGATCTTTGGCCAACATGGCCAAGGAGGGGGAGGAGGAGGTGGAGGAGGAGGAGGAGGAGGTGGAGGAGGAGGAGGAGAAGGATGATGAGGAAGAGGAGGCGGAGGAGGAGGAGGACCATGATGATAATGATGATGATGCTGATGATGATGCTGATGATGATGGTGCTGATGATGAGGATGAGGATGAGGATGAGGATGATGATAATGATGATGAGGAGGACGAGGATGAGGATGAGGATGATGATGCTGCTGCTGGTGCTGCTGATGCTGATGATGATGCTGCTGATGCTGATGATGATGCTGATGATGCTGATGATGCTGATGAGGAGTATGCTGTTGATGCTGATGATGCTGCTGCTGCTGGTGATGATGATGCTGATGATGATTATGCTGATGATGCTGATGATGATGCTGATTGATGCTGCTGCTGCTGATTGATGATGATGCTGCTGATGATGATGACGATGATGATGATGCTGATGCTGATGGTGATGATGATGCTGATGATGACGCTGATGATGATGGTGAGGATGATGATGATGGTGATGATGATGATGATGTTGATGATGATGCTGATGATGATGATGATGATGATGATGATGTTGATGATGATGATGATGATGATGATGATTCTGATGATGATGATGATGGTGATGATGATGCTGATGATGATGATGATGATGATGATGACGATGATGATGATGATGATGATGATGATGATGATGAGGAGGAGGAGGAGGAGGAGGAGGAGGAGACACCCTTTCAGATGCAGAGCGCGAGTAGTTCACGAGGAGGGGGGGTCTTCCCGAGAGATTAACCTCATGCCCGTGAGAATAAACACTAGGGGATAATAAAGTTCGGGGTTCAGGGAGAGATAATAACAGTAGCCCAGCAGACCTCAGCATAATCTCGAAGTAAGAGATGATCAAGAGGAGACCAAGCCGAGCACGTTTTGAGACATCCTTGGCGTTTAGTTTTCATAGAAATATCCTCAACAATGGCTTATCTCTCATGAAAATTGTTTTTTGTAAGTGCTCGTGTAGGGTAGCTCATGTGCCTCAATTTCCATGGATAATCAACCCCAGAGATAAAAAAGTTCAGGCGAGCGTGGGGACAGAGAGAAATATAAAAGAAGAACAATACAGTATAATAATAATAAGAAATAATAAGAAGAGAAGAGGAATAAGAAGAGGACGAATAAAGGAAAAATCCAAAGTTCCAAATCTATCAATTTTAATTTACAAACGCTTTATGAAAATTGATTTTTTTAAGTGCTCGTGTAGGGTAGCTCATGTGCTTCATTTTCCATGGATAATCAACCCCAGGGATAAAAAAGTTCAGGCGAGCGTGAGGACATATAGAAATATAAAAGAAGAAGAGGAAAGTAGAATAATAATAAGAACATTGCTCGTTTCGTTTGAGTCTGCCTCCCAAAATTATTGGTTTCGCTTGACACATCCTGAAAAAGTGTGATCGCTTCGCTTGATGTTGCTATATCAACATCGCTTGATGTTGCTATCTCAACATAGCGTTTCGAGGTGATAATGAAGTTCGGCCTCAGCGCTCGCCGCCCAATTTGAATTTTGTATAGGGCGACGATAAGCAACTCTAAACACTGAAGGGGGGGGGTCCCTTTATTATCATCGGCATGCGGTTACGCGTATGATTCTGATTCAGTCCCATCCTAAGCTGAAGCAGGGCGCCAGTGCTGGAATCGCAAGGGTTCAAGTTCGGAAGTGCAGGTGGGTACGTCTTGTATTCACCACGATTGAAACAACAGCTCAGGCGGGCCATTGCGGCCACATCACGGTGTGGCTAACATGTGGCGGCCTCAAGTAGGATATTGTAATGGCATCCGGCCAGTGCCGCCGATCCTGGGGGCTCCGGATTCGGTGATCTTGGAGTCGTCGGGGACGCTGTTTGGGAGGGAGGGCGGTCTTGGAGTCGTCGGGGACGCTTTTTGGAGCTGAGGTGCCCTCTGGGTGGGGGGGTGCCTGGAGCGGTTCTGGGGGGCGCTCCGGGGAGGGTTCCGAGGGGAGGGTCCTGGGGGCGGCAGCGGCCAGATCTGAGGGGGCTCCCTGGGACCCCTCGAAACATTTTGGGGATGCGCAACTCATTAAGAAAACGCCAGATGGGGGACCGCCCCATCCCCCCCTCCCCCGCTTCGTCAGGGGGGGTCCGGGGAGGGTTCCGAGGGGAGAGTCCTGGGGGGGGTCCCTGGTACCCCCCGAAACATGTTGGGGATGCGCAAATCATTAAGAAAATGCTAGATGGGGGACGGCCCCCCCTCTCCCACCCCTTCCCGGCAGAGCCACCCCGGCGACCCTCCCCAAGCAGAGCTGAAGCTCTTGCTTAGGCTCAGAGCTGAAGCTCTTGCGCAGGCTCCTTGTAGTTCACACGCCGGATCGGCGGATTTGTAGCTGGGGCAGTTCAATACCATAGCACCCGATGATACGTTGTAAGCATGTGTCGCGTATCCGAATTGCGTGTGTTATAGTAGCGTTCCGCTACTCATTACAAGCAGATGCCACGATCACACCATAATCGCAGTACGGCGGGAATTGTTGGGAGACCGCTCGTGAAACGTGGGGCCTTTCGCGCCTTGGGGACAGGGTTTTCACGCAAGTGGGCGCGAGTGTGGCAGAAACATTCACTCCTGCCATGCAACATTTGGCATCGTGTACAGTACGCCCCAGAGTAAATCTGCTCCTTAAGCTTGGGTACCTCTCACTCATGGGAGGCGACAGGTTACCCAATCAGTTGGTGATATTGGGGCTTGGCCATCAGTGCGTGGACGGCGATATTCTGCGCTGGTGGGATCTCTGATGTATCTTTCACTGGTGCTAGGGGTCATTATCGGATCCTAGTGGACGGTTGCCCCGAGCAAGAGAGAATTGTGTGGTGTGGCAGCTCGACGGGCGGATTCTCACAGGGCTGTTGCGCTTCGGACTTTGTCCCTCCCTGCGAGTTTCATTCAGGTTGAAGGTCTGCGATCTGTCAAGAGCATGCGAGCGTCCAGGTCTGCCAGTCTCAGGTGCCACAGGTGTCGAAGGTTTGACCGCTCGATTCCAGCCCTGTTACAGGGGGACCACCGCTGACGTGCGCCCCCTCTTTCCACATGCGGGGACGGGGCCTGGAAGGAGGTGATGAGGACCCCGCCGACACACCCTTCTTGCTTCGCGTGTCTGGTGCCGACAGGGGGGAAGTCTGTCCCGTGGGTTGTGGCTGCCCCCCCCCCCTTTCACGGGGGTGGTGGCAACGGGGGCGTCATCCTACACGCCGATTGGCCCCAAGGGGCCAGCGAATGCACAGGCAGTTCAAGTATGAGCATCGATGCGTCGATCCTCGATGCTCCTCAATGGAGGGGAGGCAGAGGGACCCCGTTCCGTAGCCTGGCAGCGGCGCTCCGGCGATGGTCCCCCGCGCCCGCTGGCAGGCGGCCCAGGCTCGTGTTCGCGGAGGCCGACTGCCCTGCCGTCCTGGGCGAGGGGCTGCAGGCCCGAGGGACGCAGGGAGGTGGGAAGGCATGGCGGAGGGAGGAGGACTGGGGGAGGAGGTGCGAGGTTGTTCCCAACCCTCCTTGGTGGGGTATTCGTTTTGAATGGAGCACTGTGGTCCCCACGTCCTCCTCCTCCCGCCTCCCTCCCGCCTCCCTCCTCCTGCCTCCTCAAAGAGAGAGAGAGAGAGAGACATAAAGAGAGAGAGAGAAAGACAGGAACAGAGAGAGAGAGAGAGAAACAGAGAAGAATGAGAGAGGGGAGAGGTCCAGAGAGGCGCGATGAGCTCACAGCAGAATGATCAGGGGGATGGACCAGTCTGGATAGGAGACAGGAGTAGGATTGTGGAAGAAGGGCTTGGGAGGGAGGATGCGATGAGGAATGGGGGGGGAGGGAGCAGGGAGGGAGGGGGTGATGGTGATGGTGATGGTGACGGGGATGGTGATTGATGATGATGCTGTTGATGGTGCTGCTGATGATGATGATGATGATGATGATGATGATGGGGATGATGTTGAAGATGCTGATGATACTGATGGTGATGATGATGATGATGATGATGATGATGGCGATGCTGATGACTGTGATTATGGTGGTGGTGGTGATGATGATGGTGTCGATGATGATGTTGGTGATGGTGATGATTATGAGGATGAGGATGGCGTCGCCGATAGGAATGCGGATGCTTGCGCTGATGATGCTGCGGGTGATTGTGGTGTTAATGACGATGATGATGTCAGGGATGCTGCTGATGATGATGCGGATGATGTTGATGATGATGATGTTGATGATGATGATGATGATGATGATGGTGATGATGATGATGATGATGCTGCTGCTGATGATGATATTGCTGATGGTGGTGATGATGATGTTGCTGATGCTGATCGTGATGAGGAAGCTGATGATGATGAGTATGATCATGGTGATGACCATGAGGATGGTGATGCTGATGCTGATGGTGATGATGCTTAGGCTGATGATATCGATGATGATGATGATGCTGATGATGCTGATGCTGATGCTGATGCTGCTGATGATGATGACGATGCTGCAGATAATGCGGATGCTGGCGATGCGAATGACGACGGCGATGCTGCTGATGCTGTTGCGGATGCTGGTGCTGCGGGTCTTGTTGTTGATGGTCCTGTTGTTGATGCTGATGTTGCTCGCGATGGTTATGATGATCATGGTGATGAGGATGTTGATATTGATGATGGTGATGCTGATGATGCTGCTGCTGATGATGATCATGGTGATAGTGATGCTGATGATGCTGATCATGATGATGCTGCTGAGCTGACGCGAATGAAGACGATGATGATGGTGATGACGATGCTGCTGGTGATGACGATGATGCTGATGCTGATGATACTGCTGATGATGATGCTGATGATGATGCTGACGCTGATGCTGATGCTGCTGATGATGATGATGATGCTGATGCAGATGATGATGATGATGCTGATGCTGCTGATGATGATGATGATGCTGTTGTTTATGATGCTGATAATGACGATGCTGCTGATGATGATGATGCTGATGCTGATGATGATACTGCTGATGATGCTGATGCTGATGCTGATGCTGATGCTGATATGATGATGATGATGATGATGATGATGATGATGATGATGATGATGATGATGATGATGATGATGATAATGATGCTGATGCTGATGATGCAGATGATGCAGATGATGCTGATGCTGATGATACAGGTTCTGATTATGTTCCTGATACTGCTGCTGCTGATGACGACGGCGACGATGATGATGATTCTGATGATGACGCTGTGGAAGAGGAGGAGGAGGAGGAGGAGGAGGAGGAGGAGGAGGAGGAGGAGGAGGAGGAGGGGAAGAAGGAGGAAGAGGAGGCGGATGAGGAGGCGGAGGAGGAGGGAGGAGGAGGGAGGAGAAGGAAGTATGGAGGAGGAGGGAGGAGAGGAGAGAGGAGGAGGAGGAGGAGGATCGGAGGAGGAGGAGGAGAGAGAGAGGGGGAAGGAGAGGAGGAGGGAGGAGGCGGAGCGACAACCGCGGGGGGCGGAGGGAGGGGGGAAGGAGTGTAGAGCCGGGAAGGGTGGGATGGAGGACGGGATGGATGTGGTTGGAATGTCGCAGGGATGTAGAGGGACAGTAGGGGAGCGGGGGTTGGAAGGTGAAGGGCAGGGGGGGGGGGCGAGGGGGGAGACGGGTAGGGACGCGGGATGGAGGAAAGTGTGGGAAGTCGGAGAATGAGAGGGAGAGTGAGGGGGGGTGGACGGGATAGGAGGGAGACTGGAGGGCACGTGCGCCAGGAAAAAGGGAGGAAGGGCGGGGAGGAGCTGAGGAAGAGGGGAGTAGGAAGGGATCGAGGGAGTCGGGAAGGGGGATGAGACGAGTACAAAGTGTGGGGGAAGAAGAGAATGAGGAGGAGGAGGAGGAGAAGGAGGAGGAGGAGGAGGACGATGAGGAGGAGAAGGAGGAACCGGATGAGGCGGAGGAGGAGGCGGAGGAGGAGGAGGAGGAGGATTTGGGGGAGAGTGCTATCTGTCGCGTGTGCCCGCGCGCCTGATGCTGCCGGTGCTGGCCCTTTGGCGCTTGCTCACGTGCTTACTCGTAATTGGTGCAGCGGCGGCCTGTCGGTTTGGATCGTCCCAGACTGCGAAACTCTCTGCGCTTACACTTGCAGCTCATCTGTGCAAAGGAGATGCGGGATGGTACTGCGGAGTATTCTTGGTCGGGCGAGTGGTCCAGCACCTGTGGGCCGCCGCTGACTGTTCCGTCTCGGGCTCTGCTGCCTCCAGGGCACTTCGGGCCTTTTCTCTCATCTCGTGCAAGGCAGAGCCGGCGAGGATGCTGACGAGGAGTAGCAGGAGGACGAAGACGAGGATGGAAATGGATTGGCGGGGAACAGGATGGGGGAGAGGTGGGAGCATGATGACGAAGAGGGGGAGGAGGGGGACCATGAGGACGAGGAGGACGAGGAGGATGAGAAAGAGTGCGACGACGGCCACGACATCAGACGACTACGAGGACGACGGCCACTGTCTAGACGACGGCGACCTGGACGACCCAGACGGTCACAACGACATAGTCGGCGACGGTGAGGAGGACCAGCCGGGTTTCCGAGCGCCACGCCTCGGCTTGGGCCCCAGCAGGACACCGCGGTCGCGTGCCACAGCTCCGGGGCCGACGGGTGCAGCGCCATGCTGCTGCACAGGCCCTCCCCCGCGCGGGGGGGTGACGGGGAGGGGGCCCGCTGCTGCCGGCGGGGGGCCCCGGGCCCCGGGCCCGCTGCCCGTGTCCCAGACGGACGGTTGCGTGCAGGGCCGCTTCCCCCCCCCAGGGCTGGAGCTAAACGGTGTTTTGGCGATTTCGTGGGCCGTTTTCGTTTCGACTGCGTTTTGCGGTAACGACGGAGTGAAGACAAAGCGAGGGAAACCGAAAACAAAACGGAAGCGAACAACACCGTTTAGGTTCAGCCCTGTCCCCCCCCCCTTCTTTGCCCTCCCTGCTCCCTCCCTCCTCCTGCCTCAAAGCCTCTCGCGAGCTTGGTCGGTGCTCCGCCGCCTCCTGGTCCCTCCACACTCAAACAAAGTGAGTGCTACTCTCCCTCCTTCCCTGGCTCTGGCAGGAAGATGCACCGCCCCCTCCACGTGCTGTTCTTGAACACAGGATTTCAAACATTGATTTTCTTATGTTTTGCAATCCGATTGTTTTCGGTGTTTCAAGATGTTGCTACAGCTGCAGCGTGGGCTTCATTTTCGGATCGGCGCCTCGCTTCCGTCGTCCAGGATGGTGCTCTCGCTTCAGCGCGGGCCACTTTCCTGGACCCGAGTCTTGTTTCATTGTGGTCCCCTCCTCAGTTCCTCTTCTCCGCCTTCCCCTTGTCTTCCTGTACCTCCCGCTCCCTCCTCTCCGGTTCCTGCTGCTGCTGTTCGTCTCGCCCCAGTGCGGGCCAGTTTTCTGAATACAAGTCTTTCTTCATCGTTATCGCCCCCTCATTTCCCCTCCTCCGCCTTCCCCTGGTCCTCCTGTTCATCCCGGTTCTGCTGCTGCTGCTGCTGCTGCTGTTCGTCCTCGTCCTTTTTCTCCCGCTCATCTTCCTGCTCGCACGCTTTCCGATTGTGCATCCTACGACGTGGTCTTCCTGTGGGAGTCGCAGGTCGGCCACGACACGCGTTCGACGTCGGAGAAAGATCAGCGCCACGGGAGGGGAGGGGAGGGGGAGGGGGAGGACGTCAGATAAGGCGCGAGCGCACCTAGCTTGTACTCCCCCCTCCCCTCCTCCCTCCTCCTTCCCCTCCTCCCCGCGCCGCGTTCGCAGGGCGGCGGCGCCTGCGACCTCCCGCCGCTCCAGGCTGCGGGTCGGCCGAGCTCGGCCGCACTGCTCAGGTGTTGCCCGAAGTGGTCCTGGCCAAGGTGCTCCCGCCTCTGCGCGCCATCTTGGAGCCACGGGACCCCACTGGTCAGCCATGCGCGGAGGGGGGTGCAGTCGGCCCTGATTATTAGGTCGTCCTTGCCAAACCGAGGGTACCCTGGTGTCCTGTGTCTCGCGACCCATGCCTCCTACATTCCTATGGCAATGCGGCCCTCGGAGGGGTCTTCTGTCCTCTCGCGTGTCCTGTCCAATCAAATCCGACTGTAGGGGGAGGGGGGAAGGCTTCTCAGAAGCACCCCTGCTTCTCAGAAGGCGCGGGCCCTGTCTGTAGATGCAGGGCCGGCGCCTGCTGAGAAGCAGCCTCCTAAGAAGCCTTCCCCCCTCGCCCTGCCCCCTCGTGCGCGTCGCCGAACTGGTCTCGTGAGGGGTGCTCTGGAGGTCACTGGGCCTCCCCGGGTACCTGATCCTGGGGGCACCATCGCCCGAGCAGCGGTCCTGTTCGGCGCGCCCCGCTGACCGAGTGCCGCCTCGCGGCCCCTCGACGAGGGTGGAGGTGGGGAGCTTCAATTGGCCCCCCCTCCGAGCACAGCAATCGAGGACGTATGGCCCACGCATGGCCCATAGAGCCACCACTGCCGGGTCCCTGCGCCCGACCCCCGCATTCACCCTCCAACTCGTGGGGTCGGCTGCATCCGGCTGCGTGCAGGCCTGCCCGGCCGCCGGAGCTGCGCGGGCGTCTCGAAGCGTTGCCGAGGAGGGATGGGGCGGGAGTGAGGAGGGACGGTTCAGGGGCAACGAGGGGTGGGATGGGCATAGGGTTGAAGCATCGACACCCAATCGTCCACTCATCGACGAGAAGGGGCCCGATAGTCCTGTCCCGCCCAGGAAAGTGGGGAGTTGCTTTAGGTGGCCTAGCGCCCATCTTTCGGCGATGTATCGCCGAGTCCAGGTCGATGCGTCCCCCCCCATGCCAGCCCCCCCTATCGTGGTCCCTATCGTGGTCCCTCAACGGTGCTTCCTTGGCAGCAAAGCCCACATCCAAATTTGAGATCCTTGCCCTCGGCCTCACCTCTGTTCGTCTTCGTCCTCCCGTTGCTGCCCGTGTCGGCGCTGGTGCTACTGCTGCTACGCTACCGCCCCTACTTCTGCTGCACTCCTTTTGCTTCTGCTTGCGATGCCGTGGCTTTTTCTCCTCCTTGAGCTGTCTCCTATTCCACCTTCTGCTGGTTGTCCCCCCGTGGTAGTCCTCGTCGTTCCTGTCGTGCCCTGTGAGCCTCTGGCGTCTCCTCCGCCAGCAGCCGACACCAGAGGACAGAAAGAACTGGAGGTCGCTCAGACCAGCGGCCGTGTTCTGACTGGGGACGACTTTCGCATGCGGCGCGAGGACCGCTGAACCAGGCGTCTGGTTTATTTTGGTACGCGTTGCGCTTGTGTGACATGTGCCTTCAGCTTTGCCGTTGCCAGGTGAGACAGAAGGCGGCCGAGGCGGCGAAGGAGGAGGAGGAGGAGTAGGAGGAGGACGAGGAGGAGGAGGAGGAGGAGGAGGAGGAGGAGGAGGAGGAGGAGGAGCAGCATCGTCAGCATCAGCAGGAGCAGAACGTCCAGGGTAAGGAGCAGGAGAGGGAGCATGAGTGGGAGCTGGTGGAGGAGGAGGTGCAGCAGCAGCAACGCGTCAGGTCGATGGATAGACAGATCCGTGGATTGATGGGTGGAGGATGGAAGAGATACATGGAGAGATGGAGGGAGGGAGGTCGGCAGGGTGAGATGGATGCATTGATGGGTGGAGGACGTGGCAGGGAGGTAGGGTGAGAGTGGGAGGGGGGGCAGCGGCACGAGCACGATTGCGGTCGAGGCTCGAGCCTTGCCGAATCCAGGGCACTGTCAACCCGCACTGTCCACGGTTGCCCTTGCATCCTGGGCCGCGCCCCGCTCGCAAAGCGTCGCCATGGCTTTCCTTGGCCCTTGCATCCTTACCGCGCGTCTTTTCTGGATGGGTTGACCATCGGTCAGCCCTGCGAATCACGAGTACCCTTGTGTCCCGTGTTTCGCGACCCGTGCCTCCTACGTGCTTGTGTCAAATGTGGACCTCGGAAGGGTCTTGTCTCCTCTCGCGTGTCTTTCAACCACCCCCCCCGACTATCACCGAGCGCGTTCCACTACTCGCGAAGTGCCCACTCGCAAGCGTCAGAAGCACGCATGTTTGCCTCGACGTAACGGATCGGGAATCCCCCTCGGCGGATCTAGGCCATTTGCGAGTTGTTTCGAAGACACATTCACATAAACATAAACTTTTGGCGTTCCGCGCGGATTTCTTGGATCCGCGCCAGAGCCCCCTCCTTCGCGCGCAGAGCGCGCCAGCGGCGGCGCCGGAGGCGCCGCCAGGGGGGGGGCAGCGCGGATCCAAGAAATCCGCGCGGAGCGCCAAAAGTTTAAGTTCATGTGGTTGTTTCTTCTTCGATAGTTACGTCGCGAGTCGGGGAGCGCGCTTGCTAACCGTAGCCAGCGCCCGAGTCCGCAGGTTTGGCGGCCGCATCGCGGGGTGCTCGCTGGGGAACTCCAGCAGCGGGCAGCTGGCCAGAGGCGCTCGGCCGGGAGAGGGGCCTCGGGCGGGGGTGGTCGGCGCGCGTTCTTCTTCGTCGCCGATGTTCTGGATCCGAGTCCTTCCTCATTGTGGTCGCCCCCAGCCTTTCCTCTTCTCCACCTTCCCCTGGTCCTTCTGCTCCTCCCGCTCCTTCCACAGCAGCTCCTGCTGCTGCTGTTCTTCCTCGTCCTCCTGCCTCCTCCTCCTCCTCCTCCTCCTCCTCCTCCTCCTCCTCCTTTCTCTCTCCTGCTCATCGTACGTCCTCCTCCTCCTCCTCCTCCTCCTCCTCCTCCTCCTCCTCAAATGTACGCAGCACCCTTTCCCGATTGCGCCTTGCACGAAGAGGTTTGTTTTGGAATTGCAGGTCCTTTTTGCAATTTCCTGTTGCTGCTGTTCGTCTCGCCCCAGAGCGGGCCACTTTTCAGAATCCGAGTCTTCCAACATCGTTGTCGCCCCCCTCGTTTCCCTCCTCTGCCTTCGCCCAGTCCTCTTTTCCCTCCCGATCCTTCCGCTTTAGTTCCTGCTGCTGCTGTCCGTCCTGATCTTGTTTTTCCCGCCCATCCTTCTCCTCACCCGCCACCTCCTCCCCCTGTGCACGCAGCTCCCCTAATGTCCGATTGCGCCTCGCGCGAAGTGGTCTTCCTGTGCGAGTCGCAGGTCGGCTGCGTCCGCGGGTGGAGAAAACATCAGCGCCACGGGAAGGGATGGGTGGGAGGGGGAGGACGTCAGATTTGGCGCGAGCGTTCCTAGCTTGCCTCCCCCCCTCTCCTCCCCCCCATCGCACCTGCTGCAGCCCGCGTCCGCCCCTGCCGAGCCCACCCCTGCTCAGGCCCCCCTGGGCGTGGTGGAGGCCCTGAGGCGGGAAGAGGATGAGCAACCCCTCTTTCGTTGTCCAGGGGGGTCCGAAGGGGGGAAGTCCCCCTCGTTCGTCGTCCAGGGGGGGAGTCCGCAGGGGAGTGCTGCGACTCAATGTTCTGCCCTGGCGGCCAGTGCCTGGCAGTCCTCTGCCCTGGGAGCCTGGGTGCCAGCGGTGCACTGCAAGAGACCGATCCTGCTGCAGTGTTTCCCAGATGATCTGTACAGTCGGGGCGCTGAAGAAGGAACCCTTTGCGCTGGGGAGGGGCTCCGTGCTCCTCAATTGTTTCACAGCTTGCCTTAGGTTTTCCTTAGGTTTTCGATGGACAGTCGAAATTTAACTTATGGGAGAAACAGGCCTCGTTCCTTGTTCATCGTTCCTTAGGGCAACGCCCCGACTGCAGAGCGGACAGGCTCTCGACCGCTCGTCGATGCGCAGAGGCCGTCGGCGGTCCTCGGAGGGTCCGCGGCTGCCGTGCTGGGGGGGGGCGCCCGTTCACGGTTTCCCCCGGGGCCGTAGGCGACCCGTTCGATGAGAGCCAGCTTGACCACGACGCTGACAGCAGAGCGAGTCAGACGTGAGCCGACGGGGTTGCTCAGGAGGCCAGGGCGGCGTCGCCGCATCGTCCAGGGATTGCCACACTCCCGCTGCCGAGCTGGACGGGAGAAGAGGGGGCCACTCTGTGGCGGTATGGCCGGCATGTCGTAAGACGGATCAGAGAGCGTTTGGTGATTCCCGGGCGGTGACGGGCGATGCGTCACGTTTCGCGCCGGCGCCATTTGGGAATATCTACTCCGAGTTTCTTAATAAGCGTCGGGGGGGCGTCGCTCCCGCCGACAACCCCACATCGACCCCCGTTGAGGGCAGCCACCGCGCGCCGAAAGCGCTCCGAACCTCATCGCGGCGCGACGACGAGGCGATGTTGACCCCGGTCGGAGGGGTACCCCCCCATGCTTATTAAGAAACCCAGAGTAGGAATAACCAGAAAGACAGCTCGGACGTCGGCACGAATCGTGACGTTACCCGGGGAGAGGGTTGGGTGGCAGCCGGGGCTGGAGCAGTCAACCCGCATAGGAAGGATGAGCAGTTTTCCAATCGGCCCACCCTCAGGAGGGAAGAAAACACAGACACAATTAATCGTCGATCCCCCAGAAAATATGAGAAAATATGGAAAGTGGGGGGAAGGCAACAGTTATAAAAATATAGGCAAATTTGGAGAATCTTGGGATTTGTGTGTATTTATTTGCGGATCCCTGGGCCCCTTCACTTCCTTGGCCGCTTTTGCTGGCCGCGCCCCGCCCGCAAGTGTTGACATGGCCCTCCAAGGCCCTTGAATCCTAATCGTGCGTCCTTATTGTGCGGGTTGACTGTAACGGCCGTTATCGCGAAAAAACGAAACACGTTCTTTCACAAGCATGGTGATGTGAGTGCTAACCCCAGTTGTGGTAAATGGGCGTGGGCGTGCTCGGGAAGCTCGACTCAGCCCTCAGTTGTGATGCAGCGGGAGGAGGGGCGATGGGGTCATAAGACTGGAAGGTCTGCAAGCTGCAAGGCCCTTCACCTCCCTCCCACTCATCATCCTCCTCCCCCTTCCTTCCTCGCCCGCCCTCCCGCCCCCCCTCATCTCACTTTCCCTTCCCTCCCCCTCATGTTCTGCTCCCCAGAACTTTGAGGCTTTGAAGTTCGTCTAATCGCTTCGAGCGCGGCGCTGTTCGATTGCGCGCATTCTCTTTCCCTAGTCCTTGTTTCCTTGCACGGACAAGATACACATCATCGCAAACGCCGTCAGTGGATCTCAGCTCGGTTCTACAACCCACCTCCGCGGACAGACAGGGATATGCGCGGGATGGGTCAGCTGCACATCCCCCCCTTCTCGCCCTGGCCTTTCCCCGCGTCGTCCCCCTCCTCCGCTGCCCCGACCCCCTCTCCCACCTCCCCGCTCCCGCTCCCTCTCAATCGCCCCAGCAGCGGCGGGGAATGAGGAGGAGGACGAGGGCGACAGCAGGCCAGTCAGAGACTGCACGCGGCACCACAGACCAGCCATATTGTATGTGCCAGCCTCAGCAAGTCACCAACATTCAGCCTAGCCGCTCATCTACCTCTGACCTATTCCATCGGCCTGTCAGTACCAGTCTGGCCAGCCTGCCCGAGCCTCCTCAGCTACAGCCCAGCCGCTTTCCTCTCCTACTACTATTGCTGCTTACTGCCATTCTGGCGAGCGGGTAGGGGGCTAGGCTGCTTAGCCTACCCCACTGTGGGCCACTCACCGCAGCACCGTCAGTGCCTTCAGTGCCACATTTGTCCAATTCGCTTTGTTAGCCGCTGCTTGCTCCGCTTCACTTCGTCACGCTGCGCACACCTTTCTTTTCAGCTCTGCAGCCTCCTTACTACGGTGAGGCGGCTCCTACTTGGGATGGAGGACGTGCGGGTGGGTGGGGGGGGGCTTCTTGGACATCTTGCGTGGTTTGCTTCACCTTTCTCTGGCTGCCTGACACACCCTAGTGGATAACAGGCCACTGGGTTACACCTGTTGGACATTGAGCAGGTTGCCTTTTATTCGTTACTGTTCTCACTCCTGCACGCGTATCACGTCCCCTCTAGTTTGGTGCCTCCTCTGCGATTCAGGTGTGAGGATATGATGGATGACCTCCCCCTCTCTCCCTTCCTGTCTGGCAGACGTCTACTCTTTGCCCGTTAGGGCTGGCATCTCCACCGCTGCCTCTTTTGCCCTCCTTTTTCCGCTGCGCCCGCCCGACTTCACTGGTCGGCACCACAGGCCTACGCCGGCATCTTCACGCATGCCTCCAAACGTTCTATACAGCACCCTGGCATTCAAGTCAGCACAGCGGAAAAAGCCGAGGACGAGGACGAGGACGAGGACGGGGAGGACGAGGTAGGGGGCGCTTCCCGCCTCGGAGCAGCCAGAGATCCCCCTCCCGCCCCGGAGGCTTCGGCGTGCCCGACGCCTGGCTCGAGCGCGTCCGCGTCGCGGCGGCGGACGGCCGGGCGCACGGGCGCAGCGAGCTGCCCGAGGTCTTGGCGGCCGGGCTCGGCTGCGAGGGCAGCCGCGAAGGCTCCGCGCGGGGCGGGGCCTCTGGGTGGGGCCGCGCCCTCGCCACGCATCCGCTTCACCGCTCCCCCCGTCAGAGCCCCGAAGCATCGGGGGTAGCTCGGGTCGGGGCTAACTCGGGCTCGTCTTTCGGGATTCCGAGCCCGAGTTGGCCCCCTCCCGAGCTACACCGGACAAGTCGGGCGTCCGTGGCCCCGTCCCTGCGCCCCACGCTCCATCTCGGATCCGCACCCCCCGTGCCCCATTCCCCACGCACCCACCACGCCCCTCACGCCCCCTCCCCTATCTGTCTGTCTCTCTGTTGTTTTGCTTGTGTTTGTTGCTGGTTTGTGCTCTCTCTCTCTCTCTGTCCCTGTAGCGCTCTCTCTCTCTCTTTCTCTCTTTCTATGCCTGTTTGTTTGCTCTCTCGCTGTCTCTCTCTCTCTCTCTCTTCTTCCCTCGCCTCTCCTCGCTTTCCTCCCTGTCCCTGTTTGCCTGCCGACCTCCTCGTTCGTGCTACAGGTCTGCAGTCCTCGTTGGACAGTGGTCAGAATCAGGACTTGATTTCGCGGCGTGTCCCCTGCCTCTGCCAACCCATCCAGAGACCACTGTCGCGCCCACTGTTGGGAGGTCCTCATTGGGGCGGAGGAGGAGGGGCAGGAGGAAGATGAGGAGGAGGAGGAGAGGAGGGAGGAGGGGAAGAGGAGGAAGAGGAGAGAGGAGGGAGGGAGGGAGGAGGGAGCCAAGTCATGCAGTGGGATTCGGCCCGCCCCGCCACCGTGCCTGTGTCCCGCTACCCTGCCTGGGCCCCTTAGAGAGCCTACTGGGGATCTCTGGAGGAATTGCTCGGACCTTCTTGGAAGCTTCTTGAGGTCTCCTGAGGGCTTCTTGGTGGTATCCTCGGGGTCTCGGGGCCATCTTTTGGAGAAGGGCTCCCGTGCCCTCCCGGGCTCGTCTGTTGCGCCCCTGGGGCACTTCGGGGGGCTCGTCAGTGACGTATTGGTTCGATCCTGATGTCTTTTGGGCCGTCTTCGACGTTGCTGAGATCGAAAAGGAGAGCCAGCTTGATTACTACAGACGCCTGGGTACGAGGTGTTGATCGACTCGGGCCTCTTAAACAGGCCCCGAGGGCCCCGATGTTGGCCTAAGGGAGCCCGACGACGGTCCCAACACGGGCTCTTCGGCCCATCCCAGGGCACGTCTGACGGTTGGAGTGACACTCTCACGACCTCGACATCAGTAATGCGGATAGTCTCCCTGCGGTAGACTTCGTAGCTTTGCGTCGCTACGCCAGCTAGAACGAGATCATAGTACGTGACACGTGATTCCGACATCTGTATGTGTACACATATATACATATATATACACACACTTTCTGTATCTTTGTATACGTATGTATATAATCGCCTTCGGCCCACCCCGCCACCGTGCCCGGATTGTAGGTATGAAGCCTATTGGATGTTCGTTGGGACCTCTTAGGGGGGGGCCTCTCGGGGGCTTCTTGGAGGCAGTTTTGAGGTTTGGGGGCCGTCTTGGGGCCCTCTTGGGGCCCTCTTGGGCCGTCTTGGCCGCCTCGTGGGTCCTCGGTTAGACTGGAGGCCAGGCAGAGAGCGCCACACGTGTACTGCGAGCCCTGCGGCTACGTCGACAAGAGGAGTGGGGGCACCCCTGGTGTTGCCCCCACACAGTCATCGACTTGCGGGTCGATGGAGACGGCGCGGTCGAACTCGAAGTTCGCAGCGACATGAAACCTCATCCACACCCTGGTCTGGAGGCGGCCTTCGAACACGGTCAAGAAGGTGCAGTACACTTAGTTCGTGCTCCACCTCATGTTGCCTAAGGAGGTGTTGATCAGGCACTTGCTCGTCAGTGGCACCTAGGCAGTGTTGATGATGAGTGTGCAGTTCATTGTGCGTACACAAATCATCATTTACAGGACCAGTGCCCAGCGGTCCAGCCTCTTCTACCCCGTGCTTGGACGCCCAGGGTCAAGAGGACCAAAGACAGGAGACAGGTCTGGGGGCTCTTCTCGTGTAGCGCCAACACGTGCACGTGGAGGGTGGGGGATGCCATGGGACCAGAGCCACAGTTTTGGACTGGAGAAGAAGCGCGAGTTTCGGAACGTGCTTTTATTATCTCTCAAGATGCAGGGTCATTGAGCAGCAGACGTATCACCACGGATTCCTACCCTGCAGTGGGGACGGGAGACACTGCACTGTCTACCTCAGCTGGTTCTAGCTTGAGGCCTGGCTTACATCAACCAGTGCATGGTGGCGCTGGGCGAGTTTGTTTCGATTCCAGAAGCGCATGGTGGGATATTGGCGAGACATGTCAATATAATGCTCTCTGCAGGTTTTGTGTGGCTGTCTTTTATGTTTACCATTCCCAGGGGGGCCACAGCAGATAGCCTTCCGCTCATGGCTAGATTGGGAAAGTACGTAATGAGTCATCTTGTGCCGTGGGTGATGGGTATGACGCTACAACATGCGTCCTGATCACGAAGGCCTCACATTCTGGTGCCCCAAGCTTGGAGCTACGGTGGTTGCCCCAGGATCTACCGCGTCTGCGGTTGGAGCAGGCCAGCTGTGCGACGTTTAATCATGTCAGCTGGGCTTGTTCTGTGCGTGAGCTCTATCAAGGTGTGACATCCGGCGCACGTGTCTTGGCTGTCGCTTCGGGGTGTTAGCCTTGATCTGCTGGTGCATGTTCGGTGTAAGTGGAAACCGTTTCCTGGTAAGCTCCTTGTTGGATGCCCTCGCGAGCCTCGGCAGTGCGCGTGGGTCTGGGACATGGGAGACGCTGGAGGTCTTAGTCTGGAGCATGTTTGAGACCAGTGGGTCGATATCACAGAGTATGAGCTTTGCCCGTTTTTTTGATATCCACGGTGGCAAAAAGGCGGACTACGGGGGCAGGTCGGGGGGATAGAAAAAAGAAGACGATTCCCTTGGACACCATCCTGACATCCAGGTGGGGCTTGCGTAAGATCGTACTCCCAGGTTGCGTGCTTGGCGTTCGCTGGCGTCATTGATAGACAAGGCGGAATTGGTCTCGGAAGACTTGGAATGCTCCAGCTTGTGGCAGTCTGCTCGCAGTGCGCCCCTCGGTCTCGACCTCGACATTCTCGGTGCCAGGTTCTGTTGTCTCGCCCCCAGCTTACCTGAGCTGGTAAGAATCATCGAACAATCGGACGGGGTCGAGATGAGGCATGTGGGGCCAACGGCCACTTGAGCTTGCGATGAGATGCTAGGGGTTATTCGGCTAAGCGGTGGGCGGATTGGAAGGTTTTTGCTCAGGGTGCTGCGTCAACTGAGAGTGGCAAGGCACCCGATGCTTCTTCGGACGTCAAGCCCCCCGCGGTCGGCTTTGACGCGGATGTCAGGAAATGGCTCCACTACCTGAGGAATGGAGTACGTATTGCAGTCAACATGGGTGCCCTCTGTCTAGTGAGCAGCATGCTGAAGCAGATGCGCCGCCCCTCCCCCTCCCTCGATCCGACGGGCAGCATGTGCGCTGGGCCCTGGGCAGGTTTTAGCACAACGTGGGGCTCGGCATTGGGTGGGATCATGCTATTGTTTGACCCAACATGTTCGCATCGGGGGAGCTGTTTTCAGATCTGGGCAGGTTGCATGAGAGTGTGGCTTCAGGATGCATTTCGACGGGGCGGAAGCGCCGTGAGCTCGTCGAGGCCTTGCCAGAGCTGCCGTCAAGCTCTACGCAGGTGCTTGCGCTCTCACTTTCCAAGGGGCCATCTCGGACATCCCGCGCGCGACCTGAACTATTCTCTCGGGTTGCAGTTCGGCCGCGTTGTTTGCGCGACAGTAGTGTTGTGCAGATTGCTGCCGGCATTGACGTCGGCTTTTCCTTCCTCGGCGACCAGACATGGGTTTGGCGATGTGTCGCTGCAGTCTGTGGGTGTGGTCGCGTCCATCAGTGGTCAGCTCGGCGAGGCGTGGGTCACGTTGAAGGAAGGGCTTGAACGGTTGCGTCTGGTCACGTCAGGGAGGAAGACTGAGCCCATTACCTCTCGTGAGGAGATGGAGCTGGCGCTTTGGCACGAGCGTGGCAGGTTCGGTTTCGAAGCGCAGCAGCGCATTCGCTCCTCGGGGCGTGGCGCGGTGGCCGAGAATATTCGCGGTGGCCCGGCTGCAAGGGCTCGGTCAGCAAAGGCCCCAAGACATTTCAGGAGGGGTCTGAGGCTCAAATATGCCGGGGCTCTTGTGGGGGATATCCAAGGGGCTGGGCCGCAGGCGCGTGGGCTATGGGGGTCCGTCGTGGCTAGATTCGCACGTAGGAGAATCCATGCCGCGAGGCCCTCGGCCGCTAGACGTTGGCGCGCGGATCAATTTGGGGCGGCGCTCTCGTTCGGGCTCGGGCCTGGCCCCCCCGCGGGAGCCGAGGCGGACCTGCGTGGTCTACCGCAGTAGACGTTGTGCTGCACCGGTTTTAGGCGTCGGGATGGGTCTTTGTGTTTGGATGCCATGCGATCCGCGTGCGAGGAAGCGGTTGGTGACCTCTAGGAGGTGACGCGGCCGTGCCGCGCATGTGCGTCGCCTGATCATGCTTATTTGCTGATTTTCTGTGACGCTGTTTGGAGACCTTCTTTGGCCGCGCATGGTGCCGCGGTGCGGGGAGAGAAGGTGGGCGGCCTGGCTCCAACTCCACTCGTACCCAGTGAAGTTGCGCAGCGAGATGCAGGGCGCTGGGCTGACAGGGGCGCCCTGCTTTCCCGCCCCCGCGAGCGACAGGATTTGGCGCGGGCTTTTCCTGGCTGGAAGCTAGGGATTTGATGCGGTGAAAGCGTCGACGGGCTTGGTCGAACCATCGCCAGGCCTGTGTCAGAAATGCCGTCGCCCTGGGCACCTGGACGGAGGCGCGTCTGGAGGGCCGCGATCCGATGGGGAATTCTGCGCGCTAAGCCACGCTGGGAGGGGGGGGCGCTAGCGCTGTTTCATAGAAGGTGATGCTGTGAGGCTCTCGATGCTGGACGACGGCGTCGCCTGTCTCGGCGCTGTCTGAGAGGGGCTCAGTTGGCGCGTGACGGGAACCAGGACTTGGGGCAAGCAGTCACGGGCGTCCCCCCGCGTCTTTGCGAGCTGATCCAGGCGCCGCCTTCGGTTGGTGAGCGCGGAGTCGTTTGGTTCGACAGTCCAACCTCTGGCAGGCCGACTGGGGGGAGAATCACCTGCGGATCGCCCCTCCGCCTGGCGCGCGAACAGGCGAGGCGCGCGGGGCGGGGCCTCGCGCGGGCCACCGAGTTTCGCAGGGAGTTGTTGCGCGGCGCATGTCGCCAGCCCCACGGGTCGCGCCCCCCGTCGTTAGGGGCGGCGAGGACTACGCGTGCAAACTGGCGGCTAAGCATGTGGCAACGTTTTCGGATGCCGATCTGTCTTAACTCATTGCCAAAGGGCCCTGGGGTGTGCTGAGGGTAGGGCCGGCGGTTGCTTCCCCCCCACAGCTCGGGCCCACCCCTGGACCAACGTTTGGCAAGGTTGGGCGAGGTTTTGAAAGCGGAGTAAATGGACAAAAGGTGAAGCGTCACGCGACTATAGCTGATGTTTTAGATGGCAGATACACTGATTGAAATATTCGGCAATAAGCACCCCGGCAAATTCGCGAAGTTAGGGGCTGCCATTCACCCCATGGTTGATGATTCGCTGCGGTTGCGAGGCGAGATAACTTATTGCCCACCGACGTGAGCTTCTTTGATGGGCTGGAATTCAGGACGTGATCGTGGCTGATCGGGGCGGGGCGGACTCCTCGGGTTTCCTTGGGCCCGTTAGGGTGGGGAGGGACAGGGAGCGCGCTCCCCCACGAGCCTAAGGAGAGAACGATTCGTCATATCGTGCTGCTGAACGAGCTGCGGTGAAGGTGTTGGGGCCGCACATCAATTTCGATGCTTTGTTTTTCGTTGATGCCCAGCCTGATGTGCAGGGGTCAACTCAGAGCAAAACGGTACGACCCTCTTGGCGCGTGTACAGGGCCACAACCTTTGCAAGGCAGACGTGTTGGTGAAGGATGGGGGCAAGGCGGTTGGGAGTGGGTGGATGATGTGCTGCATCGGGTGCAGACGTTATGATAGGCAGGAGTCGCCTCTCTCTCTTGGGCGCCCACCGACGAACGACCTCCGACAGCATAGATTCATCAAGGGGAGCTTTCTCGTGGGCGGTCTCGTGCCACGGATCCCCGACCCCCTCTGACCTCTTTGCTCCGTTGCGAGCGTCGCCCAAATGAATTCAATTGTCGACTGGGAGCTGCCCCGAAGTTTTTGGTTTTGATTTTGTTGACGGCCTGTGGGAAGACAGGCGGGACCCTGCCCAGCTCCTCACGCGTTTGGGGCTCGAACTGCCCACTCGGACTGGTCAAGGTATCGGTTGAATCGTGGCATTGACACATGTTCCCGCTGAACGCAATACGGTACAAGCGGACGAGGAAGACATGGGGGAGAAGGTGGTAGAGGAAGAGGAGGAAGAGTAGGACGAGGAGCAGGAGGAGCAGGAGGAGGAGGAGGAGGAGGAGGGAGGAGGAGGGAGGAGGAACAGGGACACCGAAAATGGAAGATGAAGTGGAAGAGGAGGAGGAACATGACAAATATGAGGATGCGGTAGCCACCCATCTGGTCTGGTGGTGGCCTGGTATGGTATGGTCCGGCGTGGTTTTGTCTGGTCTGGTCGGGTCGTGTGTGATACGGTCGGGTATGGTCCGTCGTGGTCGGGCCGGGGCGCTTTGGCATGCGCGGGCGATGCGGTGCACCGCATTGTCGTTTGTCCTCGGGCGCGGAACCATCCTCTTTTGACGAGACATCGGGACAATGAGCGCGGTGTCGTGGCGTGGGTGACTTGCTTGGCCATCAGGCTCAATGAATTGTATTCACACTGCCGGATTGGGTTTTCGGCTAACAGGTAAGAGGACTGGGGACACAGGGGAAATTTGGGAGCTCACTTTGTGGCCCTCGGTGTCCCAGGGAACACTTCGGAGCGCAACACATGTATATACATATATATATATAGAGACCATTTAGGGCATCGATCGACGCCAAGCCTACGCGCAATGCTCATGGGCATGACAGGCGTTCAGGCGCGCATTTGCAAACTGTTTCGATCTCACCCGATCGGTCGATGGTCAGTGCAATCGAGGACAGCCTCCCGTCTTCGTCCCCAGAAGCCGCGCGTAGCCCAGGCGGCGGGGCCCCCGTCTGGTAGTTCGGGGTTCGATGCCTAGGTGAGTGGAATAAGAGATTCGGGCGACAGGCCTACCCCGAAGTGGTCGTGGCAGCTCGCTTTTCAGACTCCATTCAAAAGCACAGAGCAGGATTTGGATGGGACGATGGGGGGGGAGGGCGATGATGGTGATGATGATGACGCTGGTCGTGGTGGTGATGGTGATGGTCAACGGTGATGGCATGATGAGAATTTTGCGCATGAGGATGGTTAACTAGAAGGAGGATTCAGAGGAAGAGTGCGGAAGCGCAGGAACAGCATGAGGAGGATGGGTGCTGATCGGCTGATTGAGGCTCGGGAGGGGGATGAGGGAGGACGAAGGACAGATGATGATGTTGATGATGATGAAGAGGAGGGTGGGAATGAGGATGGGGATGAGGATGGGGATGAGGATGGGGATGAGGATGGGGATGAGGATGAGGATGCTGATGATGATGGCAATGACGATGATGATGACGACGACGAAGGCGACGATGATGATATTGAGGATGATGCTGGTGAGGATGAGGATGAGGAAGGTATTTGTCATGACGATGATGGTGAGGGTGAGAGTGAGGATGCTGTTGGTGATGATGCTGATGATTATGAGATTGCTGATGATGATTATGAGGAGTAAAACGATACTTATGATGATACTGATGAAGGTTATGCTACTGATGATGCTGCTGGTGATGATGATTGTATTGACGTGGTTGATGATGATGGTGATGCTGATGCTGATGTCGATGACGATGACGGTTGTCATGATGATGTTGATGATGGTGGTACGGAGGAGCGAGACGATGTGTATGTTGATGATGATGCCGATGCATATAATGCTACACACTGATGATGATGATGCCGATGGTGATGCTGCTGTGGTTGTGTTTGATGATGATGCTTAAGTTGCTGGTGATGAGGATGATGCTGATGCTGGTGTGGTTGCTGTTGATGATGATGGTGATGGTGATGGTTATCTTGATGATTATGCTGATGCTGATGATGGTGGTGATGGCGGTGATGCTGATGATGATGATGATGATGATGCTGATGATGATGATGCTGATGCTGATGACGCTGCCGATACTATGACGATGACGATGACGATGGTCATGATGATGATTCTGCTGCTGCTCATGCTGATGATGCGCCGATGATGCTGATGATGCTGCTGATGATGATACTGATGTTGATGCTGCTGCTGCTGATGCTGATGAGGATGCTGATGATGCTGAGGATGAGGGTAATGATGATGCTGCTGCTGAAGATGCTGATGCTAATAATGCTAATGATAAGGATGGAGATGGTGATGGTGATGGTGATGGTGATGATGATGTTGATTATGATTCCGACATTGATGTCGATGACGATGATGACGATGATGACGATGAGGACGATGATGATACTGATGCTGATGATGCTGCTGATGCTGATGACGATGCTGATGATGCAGAGGATGAGGGTGATGCTGATGCTGATAAGGATGCTAATGGTGCTGGTGATTGTGATGATGATGATGCTGATGATGATGCTGATGATGATGATGATGATGATGATGTAGACGCTGATGCTGATGATGATGTTGATGCTGATGCTGCTGGTGCTGATGATGATGATGCTGATGCTGATGATGGTGATGATGCTGCTGCTGATGATGATGAGGATGCTGATGATGATGCAGATTATGCTGATGATGATGGTGATGGTGATGATGATGCTGCTGCTGATGATGATTCTGCTGCTGCTGCTGATGATGATGATGATGATGACGACGGAAACTAGGACGCGTGAGGGAGAAGTCGAGGACAATAAGATGGCGATGATAAGGATGAGATGGAGGAGAAGGAGGAGGAGGAGGAGGAGGGGAATCGGATGAGGAGGCACATCAGCAGATGGAGGACGGCTGGATGAGCAAGAGGAGGAAGGCGAGGAACATGGACACGGATGCAGGAGCATTAGGAGCAACAGGCTGCAGCGGCCGGACCATGGGCGAGGGGGAACGCATGCTTTGTGTTCCGTCCCCCCCCCGTCGAGGCCAGGAGCCCTGGGAAGCAGCGCTGGACTGCGCCATGGTGGGCACCTCCAACGGTCGCATCGTCGAGCTGAAGCGCCACTCGAAGCGTGCCCGGGCTGCGCGCCCGCGGCGGGAAGGAGGAGCCAACGCCACGGCCCGACGGTTTTTGCCCGGAAGATCGGCCCTCCTCGTCGTCCTCCTCGTTCTCACCCTGCTCTCCGTCCCCCTCGTTCTTCTCCCCTTCGTCCTCGTCCTCGCCCCCTTTTCTAGTCCTGCTCGTCCGTCTTCTCGTCGTTTTTCTGTCCTCTCTCTTCCCCTTCGTCGTCGGCCCTCCGTGCTCCCCTCTCGTGTTCCTCTCGTTTCTTTCCCTTGTTCTTCTTCCCCCCTTGTTGTTGTTCTCCTCCCGCCTCCTCCCTCTCCCTTCTGCTCCCCCTCCTCCCCCTCCCCCTTCTTCTCATCCCCGCCCTCCCCTACTCTTCCTCCTCGTCCTCCTGCTTCTCCTCCCTCACAATGTGAAAGTGACCTGGAGCGCCGCCCCGCCAGATCCCTCTGCTGCGGCAGACACCTCTCTTCCCTCCCCCCGCCCACCCCTTCCCCTTCTCTGGTGGAGAGTGCCCCCGATAAATACACGGACATACAAGCGCACTGCTAATGTTGCTGTCATGCTTGCCTTCTCCCGCTCCCCGTGCAGAGAGAGGCCATTTTTGCATCCGGCTGCGAACGTGTAGGCCCGCACTGGCGATTTGAGCACCTGCTGCTATGGTCATGGTGCGGCCCTTGTCTACATTGTTTTTTAGAACGTTGCACTGTGATGACGCAGAATGAAACAGCTATGGCCATTCATCTCATCACACTGCCCCTGCCCTTCTCGCTCGCTGCATGGTTTTCGAATCGAATTCTCGGTGCTTCGCCTCGGCTTGGCTGCCTGCACTGGTGATAGTTCTGCATCTGCACCCCTTCCCCCCGATCTGATCGCTTCGGGGGTTGCCAAAGGTGCCCCCCTGGCCCAGGGTGCCCCCAGCTATTCGCTCAATTTTGGAGCCCCCTGGGAAGCCTGGGGGCGCCTTGGCCGAAAGGGGCACTTCCAGCAGCACCCGATCGCTGCTGCTGGGGGCTCCGCCCTCCTCCTGCGGGGGGGGCCGCCACGCCCGATCCTCCCCCCTTGAGGGGGGCGCACGGGGGCCCCGAGTGGCGATAGTTCTGCATCTGTACCCCTCACTCCCGATCTGATTGCGTGCCCAGAGGGTCCCCCGGAGAGGAAATACAAACTGTAGTAGCAGTAGACGATGTGGCGATGGACGGTGACTGTGCGAACACTCTGAAAACTGGGCCAGCACACGAGGTCGCAACGAGGCGGCGACGGGCAGCGGTCTCTGCCCTCCTGATGCCCCGGGCCGCCGCCACGCCCGGTCCTCCCCCCTTGAGGGGGGCGCGGGGGGGGGGGGGGAGCCGCCCGCGTCTTGCGGCCGCCCGCGCGACGGCGGTGCGCCGTATGCAGAATATTTCCGCTCTCGGGAGGTGTCTTTTCCTTTGGAGGAGGAGGAGGAGGAGGAGGAGGAGGAGGAGGAGGAGGCGGAGGAGGAGGAGGAGGAGGAGGAGGAGGAGGAGGAGGAGGAGGAGGAGGAGGAGGAGGAGGAGGAGGAGGAGGAGGAGGAGGAGGAGGGGAGGAGGAGGAGGAGGAGGAGGAGGAGGGGAGGAGGAGGAGGAGGAGGAGGAGGAGGAGGAGGGAGGAGGAGGAGGAGGAGGAGGAGGAGGAGGAGGAGGAGGAGGAGGAGGAGGAGGAGGAGGAGGAGGAGGAGGAGGAGGAGGAGGAGGAGGGAGGGAGGGAGGGAGGGAGGGAGGGGAGGGGAGGGGAGGGGAGGGGAGGGAGGGAGGGAGGGAGGGAGGGAGGGAGGAGGGAGGGAGGGAGGGAGGGAGGGAGGGAGGGAGGGAGGGAGGGAGGGGGGAGAAGGAGGAGGAGGAGGAGGAGGAGGAGGAGGAGGAGGAGGAGGAGGAGGAGAAAGGTGGAGGAGGAGGAGAAGGAGGACGAGGAGGAGGGAGGCTTATTCTTTGAAGACCTTTTCCGGGGAAATTTTCCACAGCGCGTGGCATGGTCCAACGTTGGGATCAATCTGGCTGGACCGCTTCCATCTGGCTGGGACGCGGGCTCCCAGAAATCTCCGGAATCTGGCAGGCGAACTCTTGCGCAGCATGGGTTGGAAAGACAGAACAGGATAACATTTCTCTTGAGTTATTGTGGCAACCAGGGCACTCCGCTTCCGACGGGCGCATCATCATCTTCTTCTGCTTACCGGTATGGCACGTATTCGAAGGTGCAGTCCGTTTCTTCTTAGTATTCGTGAAGCTTTTATTGGGAGTAGTGCTATCATTCCCCGTTCTGCTCGAGCCCCCTCCCCTTCTCTCTGCTTATCACTTCCTCCTTCCACCCTTCACTCTCCCCTCTCCTTCCCGTCCTTTCCTTCATCCTTTCTCATTCCCTCTCCATCATCCATCCTTCTACACCTCACCCCGTGTCTTATTCCGAGATTTCCGACCCCATCCCCCACGCATCCCCCAGATCCTTTCCGTGTCCGTCACCTTGATTTAACATTTGCAGCATATCCCTGACTTGCTTTGCTTAGCCCAAGTGGCCAGGTTCAACGAGTGCCCGAGTACGCGGCAGGATTGTCCCGGCTTTCGCAATTCACGACAGGGGTCTGCTCACGCAGTTTCTTGGCCTCTCTCACCGATTACATAGTTCGATTGTTGGACCCGTGTGCCGCAGCCAGGTGATGAGCTCGTCCCATCGAATTTCCTGAGCGACTCCCTGGAGGGCTATGATGGTGCGGACTGCAGGAGGATGGGGAAGAAGAGAAGGAAGAGGAGGAAGAGGAGGAGGATGAGGAGGAGAAGAAGGAAGAGGAGGAGGAAGAGGAGGAGGAGGATGAGGACGAGGAGAAGGAGGAGGAGGAAGAGGAGGAGGAGGAGGAGGAGAAACAGTAGTATTGGCAGCAGCCGCAGCATTGGCGGCAGCATCATACGGAATCAGGACGAGCAGGAGCAGCGTGATGACCAAAAGCAGTGGCGTCAGCAGGAGCAGGAGCAGCAACGGCAACAGAGGTGGGCGGGAGCAGGAGGAGCAGCAGCAGGAGGAGGAGGAATTTGGCGGGACCAAGTCAGCTCATTGACGCCGCGCTTCATAAACATAGCCCGCGCAGCGCAAACAGTTTGGCGGGAGGAAGGGAGCGGGCCGCCGCGACGGGAGGAGCAGCAGCAGCAGCAGCGGACGATTCGTGCGCACCGAACCGCGTTGGCGTCTCCCGAGGCGTCGTCGATCCTCGACCCAGGAACGGTACGGTGCACAGTTTTTGCCGGCCCTCCGAGCCGAACCGTTATGCACCGCACCGCTTCGGACCGGGCCTGAAGGGAGTTCCAATCTTGGCACGCGCGGTGTATGGGCGCCGTTCCCGTGTGGGGGGAGGGGACGGCACGCAGCGCGCCGGCGCCGAGGCGTGCCGCTGGACCCGGGCACGCTCCGGGCGATCAACGCCAGGCACGTGGGCGTGCTGCGGCGGCAGGACGCCGGGGGCGCGCACGGGCGGCGAGGGTCTGGCGCCCGGGCCTTTGCCCCTTCCCGCATGATCGACATGTTTTGGTTTTTCTTCAGGGTCAGGCGGGGACCCGGGTCATCGGGCCCGCCCGCCCCCCCGCCTTTTCCCCGGACAACCACCACCCTGCCGCGTCGCGGACCGGTAGCAGGCCAAGGCGGGGAGGCGCCTACCATATCCACCAAGCGCACGATGAAGTCAACGTTTACCTTCTCAATCTTGACGTTTTGTGGTTGACGTTGCAAAATGCTTGGCAGAAGCGAGACGGGGATCACAGCGCGCGCGAAAGGGTGCAATGCCGATCCCGATCTCGCCTTGTCGCCGTGCTCGCTATTCCTGGGGATTGAGCTTCCGCAAAGGCGCGGCGCGCATTTCTTGTTTGCCAATTGTCGACGGCGGGTGGGGTTCGGAAGCGGGCGAAATGTTGTTCTTGCCTTGGCGCCGCGTAGTTCCCGCCCGCATTAGCAACGAGGCTTGTCCGACCCTCTAAACGGAGGGCTCCCGCTTAGCCGCAGTGCCTGTCTTTCACTCGCCGAGTCGTTGGGGGTGGGGCCGCGCGCGAGCGGGCGAGTTTGTCTCCCTCGCCGAAGCCCCGCGCAGAGTTCGCCTTGAAGCGGCGTTGCCGCTGCCGCGCGGCGCCTGCTCTTCGCCCACCGGGTCGCGGGAGAGCGGCAGTGGGCCCCTATGCGAGAGCGGGCGACGTGTTGTTATTGTCGAAGCGTCGCACAGATAAGGCAGGAAGGTAGGAGTGCTGCTCCGGCGCGGCGCACGCTTCGTCGTCGCCGCGAACATCTTTTGAGGGGAGGGCTCTTCCTCTGCCTCCTCCTCATCATCACCGTCATTATCGTCACAACCATCATCACCACAGTTGTCATGGTGGCCATCATCAGCCGGAGACCAGTTTTGGGGTTCTCGCCGCAGCGCCACGCAAGGATTTTCTGGATGCCCCGCTCGTGACCTGCTGTTCTCCTCGCCAGGTCGTCAGAAGCGGAACCAGCGGGCCGTCCGCAGCCGCCTTCGGTTCGCCAGGTGGAAACGTGCGCCAAAATGCGGTTCTTGTGTTATGGGATGGTGGCTGGGTGAAGATGCGGTCCGCTTGCACGTCCCCCTACCCCCTCCCGTTCTTTCTACCTTGCTCTTCCTCCTGGTCCACCTCCTCTTCCTTCTCTCCCTGCTCATCACCCTCCTCGTCGGATGGACGCCCCCACCCCAATTTTCTGTCTCTCTCTTCCTCTGACCTGGACTTCCTCCTCCCCCTCCCTCAGCGGGTTGCCGGTTGCGCACCGCTCCCTGTTCATCCAATTCCTGCTTCTCGACCTCCACCCCCTCCTCTTTTGTCGCCGTCGTCCTCCATTTCCTCCACAGCCTCTTTTTCCTTCCTCGTCTGCATGGGTAACTAGTTTTGTCGTCGTGCCCCCCGCTTCAGCTGCCGCCCCGAGCCTGGCAGCGAGGAGCGGGGCCGGCAGCGCATCGACCTGTTCGACCGCGAGTTGGGTGCGCTGCGGGGGCGCCGTTCAAACGGCATTCCCTCTTCCTCCGCCTCCGCCCGAAAGGTCCTCCCGCCTCCTCCCTCCTCTTCCTCCCTCTTTTTTTGACGTTGCTCGGACTTCATACAAAACCAGCGTTCTATCCTCCTCATCCTCCTGGAATGTCCTCCCACTCTTTCCTTATTGGTCTCTTCCCGTGCGCCCCCTCTGATGGAGGGGGGAACAGCGGACGATGACGCTGATGCAGATGATGATGATGATGAAGCTGATGATGATGATGATGATGATGATGATGGTGATGATGATGCTGATGATGATGATGATGATGATGATAATATGCTGATGCTGATGATAGTGATGATAGTAATGATGATGGGAAGGATGGTGCTGACGATGATGGTAATGAGTATGGTTGTGGTGCTGATGGTGATGACGATGTTGATGATGCTGATGCTGATGCTGATGTTGATGCTGATGATGATGCTGATGATTCTGATGGTGACGGTGATGATGATGATGATGATGATGATGATGATGATACTGATGATGATGGTGATTGTGATGGTCGTGATGGTGGTGAGGATGCTGATGACAATGACAATGGCGATGCTGATGCCGATGGCGACGGCGACGATGATGATGTTGAGGATGACGACGATGATGATAATGATGATGATACTTGTTAGTATTGATATGCTGGTTATGGTTGTGGCGGTGCTGATGATGATGATGATGATGATGATGATGTTGCTGATGGTGATGCTGGTTATGATGATGCGTCTGAGGTTGACGGTAATGATGGTAATGATGTTGATGACGAGAATGACGCTGATACGGGCTACGATGTCGATGATGTTAACGACGTTGACGGCGATGTTGATGATGTTGAGGATGCGTATGATGATAATGATGATGATGGTGACGATGATATGATGGTGGTTACGGTGTTGATGCTGGTGATAATTGTGGCGGTGCTCTTGATGATGATGATGATGATTATGAGGATGATGCGTCTGATGCTGATGGTGATGATTGTAATGATGTTGATGACGAAGATGACGCTGGCACTGGTGACGATGTCGGTGATGATATAACGATGTCGACGGCGATGTTGATGACGTTGAGAATGCTGATGTTGATGGTGGTGGCGACGATCTGACCATGATGACGAGTCTGATGCTGGTGATGACTGTGGCAGTGCTGATGATGATGCTGGTGATGATGGTGTCGATGATGCTGAGGGTACTGATGATGATGCTGATGATGATGCTGATGATGATGCTGTCAACGACGATGATGACGATTCTGATGATGACCATGGTGGTGACCATGCTGATGACAAAGCTGTTGATGCTGATGATGATGATGAGGACGAGACCGCTGATGAGGATGGTGCTGATGTTGCTGTTGATGATGACGGTGATGATATTGCCGATGCTGATACTGGTGGTGATGATGCCGACGACGATGACGATGATGATGATGAGGATGATGATGCTGATGATACTGATAATGATGATGATGATGATGCTGATGATGATGATGATGATGATGATGATGATGATGATGATGATGATGATGATGTCGATGCTCATGCTGATGCGGATGATGATTATGATGATGGTACTGATAATGCTGATGAGGAATCCGTCGGTACTGATGGGGTTGAGGACGATGCAATTGATGGTGCTGGCGATTATATCATGATGATGGCGATGCTGAAGCAAATTATGCCGACGACGACGACGGTGATATGGGTGATTATTCCCACTCCATGATCGTGGTGACGGTTATGGTTCTGGTGATGGTGATGATATTGTTGTTGACGTTGCTCAGGATGGTGGTGCTGCTGCTTGTGTTGGTGAATACCTTGATGTGGCTGGTCAGAGTGTTTGAGGTGTTGGCGATTGTGTATGTTGATGTTGATGGGGGTGCCGCTGCTGCTGCTGCTGCGGTTGATGATGTTGCTGTTGCTGATGATGATGATGCCGATGTTGATGCGGATGCTGGTGAGTATGTTGATGCTGCTGATGATGATGGTTGTACTGCTGCTGCCTCTGCTGCTGCTTATGCTCATGCTGATGCTGATGCTGATGATGACGCTGCCGATTACGTAGCACCCCGCAGCTGCAGATCAGAGTGAAGGGGCGGCGGAGACGTCGACAGTCTGTGAGGCTCTGAAGAGGCCCGTCGCATGCGCCTCTTGGATCGCGGGTGGGTCGCGGCTTGGTCGCGGGCCAGGTCGCGGGTGGGTCGCGAGTGGGTCGCGGGTGGGTCGCGGGTGGATAGCGGCGGGTCGGGGGCTGGGTCGCGGGTGGGTCGCGGGTGGGTCGCCGATGGGTCGCGGGATATGTCGCGGGTGGGTCGCGGGTGGGACGACGACCACAAACAACGAACACCACACAACGTAACAACAACACCATTCAGCATTGCGTAACCTCACTTCAGCCACGCTTCCAGGGACAGTGGATGACAGTTCGGCCACCTCACTCTGATGATGTAGACGCTGATGATGTTGATGCTGATAGTATGTTTATGATGATGACGATGGGGATGGGGTTGATACTGATGGGGATGGCGAGTATGACGCTGATGCTGATGCAAACGAGGCGGCGGCAGTATGGGATGAGGCAGGCAGGGACAGAGGAATCAGGAGGAGAGACGTGTCGGTGTGAGGGCTTTGGTGAACATGGCGATGGTGATGGTGGTGGCGGTGATGATTATGGTGATGATGATGCAGGTGGTGGTGGTGGCGGTGATGATGACGATGATGATGATGATGATGATGATGATGATGATGATGATGATGGTGGTGGTGGTGATGGTGGTGATGATGATGATGCAGATGATGATGCTGATGTTGATGATACTGATGGTGGTGCTGATGTTGATGAGGAGGAGGATGCTTACGATGCTCATGCTGCTGATGATGATGATGCTGATGATGTTGATGCGGATGGTGGTGATGGTGATGATGCTGACGATGATGATGCGTCTGAGATTGACGGTGATGATGGTAATGCTGTTGATGACGACTATGACGCTGATACGGGTGACGATGTCGGTGATGAGATTAACGATGTTGACGGTGGTGGTGATGATGATGAGGATGCTGTCGTTAATGGTGGTGGCAATGATATGATGATGACGATGATGATGGTGTTGCTGCCGATGGTGATGCTAATGAAGCTGCTAATGACGACAATGAAGAGGAGGAGAAGGATGAAGAGGAGGACGATGACTAGGCTGGTGAGGCGATGCTGACCATGAGTATGATGATGGTGATGGTTCTGGTCGTGGTGCTAATGATAATGGCGATGACGACGATGTATGCTCATGGGGACTGTGAATCTTATCATGACGTAAATGGTGAGGAGGGGGAGGAGGAGGGGATGGCGCAGGCGAAACAGGATGAGAGGGGAGGAGGGGGAGGCGGATGCAGAGGGCGAAGGCGGAAGGGCCAAGGCGGAGAAGGTGGAGGGTGAGGGGGGGCTCCTTTTTCTCGCTCTTGCTGTTGAACAATTCCTCGAAGGCCGTCTCCCGGCTCGCCCTAGCGCGCGTGCGGACTGCCTCTGCTGTACTGCGCCGTTACACATGTAAGGTGATGTGTGTGTGTGTGTTTGTGTGTGTGCGTATGTGTGTGTGTGTGTGTGTGTGTGTGTGTGTGCGTGGGGGGTCTGGTGTGTTTTTGTGTGTGGTGTGTGCGTGTGGTGTGTGCGTGTGGCGTGTGTGTGTGTGTGGAATGTGTGTGTGTGTGTGTCTGTCTGTCTGTCTGTCTGTCTGTCTGTCTGTCTCTGTCTCTGTCTCTGTCTGTGTCTGTGTCTGTGTCTGTGTCTGTGTCTGTGTCTGTGTCTGTGTCTGTGTCTGTGTCTGTGTCTGTATCTGTATATGTATATGTGTTGTGTTGTGGTGTGTTGTGTTGTGTTGTGTTTGTTGTGTTGTGTTGTGTTGTGTTGTGTGGTGTGGTGTGGTGTTGTGTTGTGTTGTGTGTGTTTTGGGGGGGACAGGCGGAGGCCAAGGACGACGGCCAAGGCAGGGAAGCGGCAGAGGACGACAGGGGGCAAAGCTGGGCTCTTGCCCAGGCGGCGCCCCGATCGGCAAGCTGCCGCTGCCCGCCTGGCTGGGCGCGGCGTCGTCCTGGTGCGCCGGCGGAGGAGCGCGGAGCCGACTCCTCCTCCCCGGTGGGAGGAGGAGGAGGAGGGAGGGAGGAGGAGGAGGAGGAGGAGGAGGAGGAAGGAGGAGGAGGAGGAGGAGGAGGAGGAGGAGGAGGAGGGGAGGAGGAGGCGGAGGCGGAGGCGGAGGGAGGCGGAGGAGGAGGAGGAGGAGGAGGAGGAGGAGGAGGAGGAGGAGGAGGAGGAGGGGAGAGGAGGAGGAGGAGGGAGGAGGGGGTGAGGAGGAGGAGGAGGAGGAGGAGGAGGAGGAGGAGGAGGAGGAGGAGGAGGAGGAGGAGGAGGAGGAGGAGGATTTTTTTTTACATGCGCCGCTCCCTGGCAACACCAGAGGTCAGCGGGGGGCCAGGCCTGGACCTGACCAGACCTGGACCCCCCGACCGAGCCGACGATGCAGTCAAGGTAGACGTAGTACGCGTACCACGCCGACGAGCGGGAGAGGAAAAGCTCCACGCTCGCGAGCACGAGGATCCGCACGAGCGACTCCTCGAGCACCAGGAACACGAGGAACCACACCAGCGACTCCTCGAGCATCAGGAGGAGCGATGCCCGATCTGCGCGAGGACCCGCGCCGCGACCACCCGAACGTCCTCCTCCCCCGGGTGCCTCTCCTCCCACGGTGCGAGCCGCCACGCCTCGCCGCCCGCAGCCGCCGCCGCACCAGCAGCAGCAGACACAGGCACGCAGGGCGCAGCAGGCGCCGCCGGAGCACCAGCCCGCGCGTCGGCGCCGCCCGAAGGGACAGCGCCGGGTGCCGAGCGCCGCAGGCCGTCGGCCCAGGCGTCGTCGGCCATGGAGTCATCGTCGGCGTCCGCGTCGCCAGCAGCCCCCGCCACCTGGACGAGCGCAAGGCCCGTGCCAGCAGAGCCTGCCGCCGCACCCGCGGCCGCCACGTCGACCTCCGTCGTCTCCACCACGACGGCAGCAGGAGCGCCCGCCGCCGCTTTCCTCGCCGCGCGGCGCTGGCGGCGCCGCCTCCGCCGCGCGGCACGCGCCGCGGGCTCGGCGACCGCTGCACCAGCAGGGCCAGGGCGAGGAACTTCAGGATGAGCAGGGGGTGGATCGCCACCAGCGGCAGCGTCGCGAGGCGGCGGCACGGCTACCTCGGCGCGCTGAGCGAACAGCGCGGCCGAGACGGCCGACCTCGCCACCGCCGCGACAGTGCGGCGTGGGGCGCCCCCCAGGACAGCGCCGCGCACGGCCGCCTCCACCAGCGCGGCGGCGGCGGCGGGCAGCGCGCGAGCCCCTCTAGGCCTCGCCATCCCACGGCGGCTCCGACGCGAGGAGGGAGCGGCGGGCGGCGGGGCCATGCGAACGCTTGAGCCAAAACGGCTTGAGCCAAAATGGCTACGGAGGAGGAGGAGGAGGAGGAGGAGGGGGAGGAGGAGGAGGGGGAGGAGGAGGGGAGGAGGCGGAGGCGGAGGCGGAGGAGGAGGAGGAGGAGGAGAGGAGGAGGAGGAGGAAGAGGAGGGAGGAGGAGGGGAGGAGGAGGAGGAGGAGGAGGAGGAGGAGGGAGGAGGAGGGAGGAGGGGGAGGAGGAGGGAGGAGGAGGAGGAGGAGGAGGAGGAGGAGGAGCCTGGGGGCAACGTTCGGGGAGGAGGGGGGTAGGGTCACAGGGCTAATCTCGACTCATCGGGCTCGATTCGATTAGATTTTTGGTCGATTCCGATTGCGATTCTGTTTGGGATGCCAGTTCGGGTTTCGGTTTCTCCATGGAGGCCCTGCTGGCCTGCCGATTTCCGCCGGTTCGACTCCTCCCGACTTGGCTGCCGATTTCCGCCGATCCGATCCCGTTCGATCGACGAATCGACTTCTCGATTCGAGTCTGGGCTCTCCTGTCCTCCAGGAGGAGGGGGAGGAGGAGGAGGACAGGATGGAGGATCGATTGGGAGTTCCTGCTTGGTTCGTTGAAGGCCCAGGGAAAGCATCCCGAGGGACCTGCGGGGATCTTTGCTTCACTTCGATCACCGAGTCGACTTCTCGATTCGATCCTGGGCCCTCCTAGGGGATCGGCTCAGAGGTCGGGGGCGGCCAAGACGGAGGTGATGACTAGGGGGGGGATCTCGTGGCGGGGTCCATGATATCTCCCCCGATTTCATGGCGCTTGTTCTTCTTTCAGTGCGTGCCCTGGGCCCCCCTGGTCCGCGCACATGCCTCGGGCCATGACTTGCACCCCCCCCTCTTGGACGCCTCCCTCTTGGGCGCCCCCGAGGAGTGGGGAGGGGCCAGGCCACCCACAGGGGCGCGACGGTGGCCGCGCTCCGCGCGCCGCGGCCTGGCCCGCAGAGGGTTCCCCCTCTTCCCTGGGGCTGCGGCGCTCCGCCCTCGGGCTCGCCCTGCACGTCGCGAGCCGGCACCCCGGCCACGCACACGCGGACCCTGTCTCGGGCGATGGCAGACATGGACCGAGGAGGCGTGGACCAGCGACGGGTCCCGTTTACATGAGAACTCGCGGATTTCCGCCGCCGGACGAGACGGCACCGGCCGCACTTTCGGGAGGGCACATCCCCCGATCGACCGCGCGCCAACTCCATGGATCGCTAACCAATGAGTGCGCGCCCTCGGGAAGTGGGGGTGACCCACATGGGGGTGAAGCAAGACAAGCCCTAAAGGGGCCCCTTGTGGGCCCCTTGTGGGCACTAACTGGCGCCCGAAGGGGCCCTAAAGGGCCCCTTTAGGGTCCTTCTCTTCACCCCCCGTGTGGGTCACCCCCTATTGCAGTGGAGGCCCATGCCAAGAAACACCCTGCTTGCCTCCAGGGTGCCCTGGGTTTCTTGGGTTTGGCTCCGATTCCTCCTCATCCTCCTCTTCTCCCCTCGGAGGCGGCGCGGGAGCGCGAAGGTGTCCGCACATCGCGCCTCGCGCAGCGCGAAGCGCGAAGCTGGGAGCCCTCCATAAGTGGCCGCGCCGCGCGTCGCGCGCCGCGGTGCGCGGCGCGCGAAGTTAGGACGGGAGGGGGGGGGAGAATTCATCAGGAGGAAAAGAAACACACAGACACAATTAATCCTCGATCCCCCAGAAAATATGGGAAAATATGGGAAGTGGTTGGGAAGACAGAAACCCCGAAAATATGGGAAAATATGGGGAACATTTTTATTTGTGTGTATTTATTTGTGTGTGTCCTGGGGCCCCTTCAATTCAGGGATAACGTTGAGGGGGGGAGCGGCTCAGGGGGGGGGACGCTTCGACACCCGATCGCCCCTCTCATCGCCCCTCCTGGGGCCCCACGGCCCACCCCGCTCGGGAACGGGCGCGTGCGCTATCGGGGGCTTCTCGCCGATCTATCGGTCTGTGTTATATATATATATATATATATAGATATTTAGAAATCTTCCCAGAGAAAACACATATATATATATATATAAAAATAATTATATATATATATATAGACACTCGATTATGCACATACACATTACACCAGAGAAAAGCCCCAATCCGTGGATGGTTTTCGCCGAGGAGATCGACCGGGAGCACGGGAGCCCGGGAGCTCGACGCCTCCCCCCCCTGAGCCGGTCCCCCTCTTGATATTCCCCCTCGTCCCCCCTTCCCTCCTGCCCTGCCAAGAAGGAGCGCACCAGATCTCCCACATGCTGCCTTTCCGCGGCCCGGGCGTTTCTCTGAGATCTCGGCCTCTGGGGTCCGCTTTCGGATTCCATGAGGGTCGGACATGGATCCAGTGCAAAGTGGTCGGGGTTTCGGGCCTCGCGTTGGTCAGGATCATACCTATACGACCACCCTTCGGGTGACAAGGAAATCCTGTGGGGGGGGGGGCGGGGGCAACTGATGACAACTGCAGTGGCTGTGATGGTGACGACGCCGGTGGATACGAGTTGGCCACGACGCGCGACGACGGTGCTTGTGACAATGCGCGATGGCGACGAACGGCGGCGATGACAGTGACACTGCATGTGGTAGTGGTGACGCGTGGCGGCGATGCCTGTGATGAGCGGGGCATCGCAAAGAGGCAGCGCACAACAGAAACAGTGCATCAATCGACTTCGGCTGGTAGAGCCTGGCTAGCGGCACGACGCATCCGCAACGGCGCACTCGCACCAGTGATTACGTCACCACCGCAGTCGCAGACAGATAAATGCCACCTGAATTGCTGGAGGTTGCACTTAGTTACTTGCAAGCGACCCCTGTGGCGCGACCAACGGGCTCCACTAATCGAAGACGCCTACGGCGAATCACCGCCGCCCCCTGCCTTTTTGGAAGCGCCTATGTGGCCGAACGTTGAGGCCAGACCTGCCAAGCTATCGGACCATGTGTTCCCCGAATCGGTTTGGAAAGCCTTCGGGGAACACGTGGGCATCTTGAAGGTCATCTTGGCCGTCTGGAGGCCATTTTGACCCTTTCGGGCCTTCTTGGAGGACGTCTTGGAGGGCTCTTGGGCCGTCTTGGAGGCCATCTTGAGCGTCTTGGAGGCCTCTTGGGCCGTCTTGGGGGCCTCTTGGGGCCGTCTTGGGCGATCTTTGGGGGCACTTGGGCCGTCTCGGGCCGTCGGAAGGCCGAAAAAAAGCTAATGCCACAATCCTTCAACAACTCTAGGGGAATCAATGTTTTTGGCCTTTTCGGGCCTTCCTGGAGGCCCTCTTTGAGGCCATCTTGGAGTCTTGGGCCGTCTTGGGCCATCTTAAGGCCATCTTCGGCTGTCTTGGTGGGCTCCTGGCACGTCTGACGCCGTCGGAAGCCGTCTGGGGGGCCTTTCTGGGCCGACTTGGGGCCCTCTTGGAATGCTCCATGGCCGTCTTGGAGGCCATCTTGAGCGTCTTGGATGCCTCTTGGCCCGTCTTGGAGCCCTCTTGGGGCCGTCTTGCGGGCCTCTTGGGCCGTCATGGGGCCATCTTGGAGGCCTCTTGGGCGCTCTTGGGGCGACCTTGGGGGCCTCTTGGGCCGTCTTGGGCCGTCGGAAAGCCGAAAAGCGCACATTGGGCCGTCTTGGGCCATCTTAGGGCCATGTTCGACCGTCTTGGTGGGCTCCTGGTCCGTCTGACGCCGTCGGAAGCCGGTTGGGGGGTCTTTCTGGGCCGACTTGGGGCCCTCTTGGAATGCTCCATGGCCGTCTTGGAGGCCATCTTGAGCGTCTTGGATGCCTCCTGTGCCGTCTTGGGGGCCTCTTGGGGCCGTCTTGGGGCCCTCTTGGGCTGGGCCGTTCTGGGGCCATCTTGGAGGCCTTTTGGGCGATCTTTCGTCGATCTTTGGGGGCCCCTTGGGCGGTCTCGGGCCGTCGGAAGGCCTACAAGAAGCAACTGTCAAAATCCGTCAGCAACCTAAGGACAATCAAGGTTTTTGGCCTCTGCCGGGCCTTCCTGCAGGCCCTCTTGGAGGCCTCTTGGGCCAGTTTCGAGCCAACTTCGGCCATCTTGGTGGGCTCCTGGCACGTCTGACGCCGTCGGGAGCCGTCTTGGGGGCCTTTCTGGGCCGACTTGGGGCCCTCTTGGGGCGCTTCGGGGCCGTCTTGGAGGCCATCTTGGGCGTCTGGAGGCCATCTTGGGCGTGTTGGAGGCCTCTTGGGCCGTCTTGGGGCCCCTTTGTTGGGGCCGTCTTGGGGGCCTCTTGGGCCGTCATGGGGCCCTCTTTGGGTCCTCTTGGGCGATCTTGAGAGCCTCTTGGGCCGTCTTGGGCCGTCGGAAAGCCGAAGAGGCGCAAATGCCAGAATCCTATACAAACAAAAACACCAATGGCAATAGCAGCGCACGGTATTGTTCATTGCATTCGTCCGCTTCACTCGCTCTGTAGCAATCGCTTCTGCTCAGAGCTTCGCTTGTTATGGCAGGGCTCGCGTACGGACTCGCCCCAGTAGTCCGCGATTGGGCTGCGACTGGCCTGTACGCCGCCAATCTCTGGACATCTCTCCGCAGGGATTGCCACTGTACGTGTACCTTCACAGGAGAGCACGACAGAGAGCTGCTGCAGGTCCTGCAGCGCCAACTAGACAGGTGTGGCCCCGAGCAGCTTCGGAGCGCCCCCTTGGAGTGTCCCTCGAGCTTCTGGGAGGTCGCCTCAGTCTTGTGCCTCGCTGTGTGCGCCGCGTTCATCATTGGCTTCCTCGTTGGCAGGCTCCATGGCCATGGTCCCGCGAGGGCTTCCCGACCTGCTGAAGACGGTCCGCCAAGGGGACAAGCTATACTGTCTGTACAGCCTGGAGGACCGTCTGTTCCACGAGAGGCTTCTGTGCGGCCACGTGGACGGCTCACGGTGGGTGGTGGCGACGCCTGATGCCGATGTGTACGTGGAAGACTTCGCCGACGAGGATCACGTGGAGATCCACCGAGCTGGCCCTCGAGGGGGAGCCCCGCCTCAGCTGCGCAAGAAGATGCTGTACCGTTTCGACCTGGACGAGCAGGCTCTGGCCGCCCTCCTGAGCGAGGGGGCGCAGCTGGCGGAGTCTGAGCGCCGCGAGGCCGGCCGCGACTCAGGGGCGGTGGCGCCCGGGGTGGTCCGCCGGCTCCGTGGGGAGCAGCACGTACTCCCGGAGATGGCGGCCGGTGGCACGGACACGCCGCGTGGTTCCGAGGTCGACTTGGCGGCTGGCGCTTCGGAGCCGCCGCTGCCACCGCCGAGCCACGCTCCCCCGCCTCGCGCGGGCGCCGGCGGTGGGCCCCTGCCGCCAGTGCAGCTGGACGACGGCTGGGTCGCCCTGGAGTCGCGGCTGGGCTTCAGGCGGGGTTCGCCAGTGGACGTGACGTTCCCCTCCGTCTACGCCCTGGACGACCGCGCCATGGCCTCGTTCCCGGAGGGGGTCATCGCGCTGGGACGAGTGGGGACCCTCTCCGAGGAGGCGCCGCCCTCTCCACGGGACGCGCGGGATGAAGTCCTGGACGAGCGCATCCTGAGGTACCGGAGGAGCGGTACGGGCCAGCGGCGGCGCGCCTTCGCGGAGGTGGTGGCCGAGCAGCGCGAGGTGCTCAGCACTCAGGAGTGGCGCGTGCAGGGGCCCGCTACCATCGGCTGGCTGCTTCAGGCGCATCTGGAGCAGGGCAGCGGGCCCGTCCAGCGGCACTACTGGTGGCGTCAGATCCTGGGGCTGGCGGCTGCCGACCCCGGGGTCGACGAGCATTTGTTCCTGTGCGAGCTGACCGAGACGGCCTCCACGGCCGACCAGCTCAACCTCCCCGGCTGCGAGGCGTTCGAGCTGGCAGCCAGGCGATTCCAGCTGTGGGAGGAGGTGTCCTCCGAGGCCCTGCGCCAGGTCGAGGTCTCAGGCACGGCGGGGGCCGCGGCAGACTCGGACGGCTGGCTGGACGAGCGCAGGATCTTCCTCGGCGGCTCCCGCTCCAAGGGCCATGCTCTCGCGGCGCCATCCTTGGAGAAGCACGTGGCGGAGAAGATGCAGGAGGAGAGCGCCATCCTCAAGGAGAGGCGCAAGGGCAGAGAGGAGCGCCGCATGGCCCGCGGCACGGGCAGCAGCGGCGCCGACGCCGCACCAGGAGGTGGCGATCGATGTGGTGGCGGCGGCGGCGCAGGCGGCGGCGGCCCTGGCGGCCGAGGCCGTGGTGGCCGCGGCCGCGGGCGGGCCTAGCCCGCCGCTTGTTTTTCGGCTTGTGCGCGGCCGCTGCAGCCCCCCGGGCAGCGGGCGCTTTCGCAAGGGAGGGCCGCCACTGCGGTGGTGATGGCGGCCTCGGCGCAAGGAGTCTCGGACACTGGCATCGCGCGCGACGCCCTGCCCCTCCCGCTGGGCGTGACGCTCGACGAGCTGCTGCACGGCGCGGCGGCACGCCTTCTGCCGCGCGGCGGCGGTCGGCGCGGGCGGCAGCGCAGGCATTAGGAGGTCTGGCTGCGCGAGGGCATCGCCGCGCTGAACGACCTCGGTGGGCGCGGGGTGGATGCCCCCGCGGGGGCCCCTGCGGCCTGCCAGGTCGCCGCCGTGCGGCGCCTCGCACAGCTCTACGGCAGGGTGGAGCCGCCGCCGTCCGACCTGACTCCCCTGGGGGCGTGGCAGACGCTCCAGGCTTCGCGGAACGGCTATGCAGACGTCATGGCCGAAGGTGCTTCGACAACCTACAGGAAGGGGGCCATGGCGCTCCCGCGGGCTGCGGCGGGGCGGGTGCGGCTTGCTGACGTCCTGCCGCCGCACCTGCAGTCTCTCTTGTGTGACTCGTCGCAGATGTTACGAGAGCCTGAGGCTCGCAATTTTGCTTTGGGTGAGGCTCCCAGGGTCTGCGCCATGGACCCAGTTTTGCAGCGGCATGGCTACCAGTATGGCGAGTGCCTCTCCGAGCTGCTCTCTGCGGGCATCATTGAGCCTGCGGCCGAGGGCAGCATCATCGAGCGCGCTGGCATCTTTTTCGTCCCAAAGAAGGACTCGTCGCTGCGGCTGATCTTCGACACCAGAAGGTCTAATGCCCATTTCCAGGACCCCCCCTACACGCTGCTCGCGAGCGGGGAGGCCCTGGCGAACTTGGAGGTCGACGCTGCTGGAGGGATTGCTGTGGCCTCTGGTGACGTCGAGTGTTGCTTCTACCAGTACGAGCTGCCGTCGTGGGCACGTGCCTTCTTCGGTCTGCCAGCGGTCCAAGCACGCTTCTTGGATTCGGCAGCCCGCCAGCGCCTGGGGGTTACAGACCCCTTCGGAGATGATCCACTTCGTTGCCAGAGTGGTCCCCATGGGCTGGTCGTGGGCCGCGCACCTCATTCAAGAGGCCCATGCCCATGTCCTGAGCACCATCAGCCCGGATGCGCCCTGGATCGCGGACACGGCGCCCGCACCGGCGCTGGGGGCTCAGTGCGCCACCGCCAAGATGCTGTACATCGACAACGTCGCAGTCTTCACGTCAGGCAGCGGCGACCCCGCGCTGGAGGTGGAGCGCATGCTGGCCGCCCTGGGCGCGCGGGGGCTTCAGGCTTCCTTTGACCGCGATGATGGGGACATGCACACCCTGCTCGGCTTCGTGCTCCACAAGCCCTCGGCCACCTGGCGCCTGTCGCACAGCAAGTTTTGGCGGCTGAAGTTTAGCCTCGATTTTGCACTGGCACCTGGGCGTCTTGTCACGGGGCGCGAGCTCGAGAGGCTGATGGGCCACATCACCGCGGCTGTCATGCTGCAGCGGCACATGCTCTCGCTCTTCCATGCGATCTACAAGTTTTGCAGGCGGTCGCGTGACAAGCGGCAGCCTCTCTGGTCGTCGGTGAAGCGGGAGCTCACGTGGTTCAGAGCGCTGCTTCCCTGCGTGACCGTTTCGCTGAGCCGCCCCTGGTGCGAACGGGTCACCGCCACGGACGCCTCTCCATGGGGGTTTGGCGTGGTGGAGCAGCCGTGGCCAAACAGTGATGTCCGGTGAGTTGGCAGCCTTTCGGAGCGCAGTCGCTTCAGAGGAGTCCTGACGGCGGATTATGCACCCAGGGACACGCTGGTCGAACAGCAGCTCCTGCACGCCACGGCGGCCGAGGTCACCGAGGAGGGCACCCTGACCCACTTTGAGGAGGTGCCGGCATCGCGGCTCTTGGCAGACCCCTGGGCGGTCGCGGCCGCCCGTCGCTGGCGGCGGGCCGCGGCCATCCACGTCCTGGAGGCTGAGGGGGCGCGCTGGGCTGTGCGGCGCCTTGCGCGCAACTCGCAGCTGCATGGACATCGGCACCTCATCCTGGGTGACAACCTCGGGGTGGTTTGCGCGTGTGAAAAGGACAGAGCTGCACACTTTGCACTCAACGTCATCTGTCGGGAGATCTGCGCTATCTCAGTCGCCTCTGGGATGCAGCTCAGGTTCAGGTGGGTCCCATCAGAGCTCAACCCTGGTGACGCTCCCTCTCGCAGGTTCATGCCAGGCGCGAGGAAGCACCACGTTGTCGGACAGTGCAGCACACCCCCAGGCCTGGAGGAGATCGGCACACATCGCGCTGGGCCTCTGTCCGGAGACATCGGCTCGAGGGAACACTACCATGCCAACGACGGTCTACTCGGTCAGCCCCGCCTACGGCAACCACGCCCGCGATGCAGCGGAGCCCAGGCCGGCGCCGACCACCCGGCGCGCCTCCGACTGGCGCGGCGGGCACGGGCCGCCAGGCCCTTCGGGCTCCCGCCGGGGCTGGACATCCCAGGCGCCGCTGAGCGACAGGCCCGCAGAGGTCTGTTCGCGGCGGGCGCCGCTGTGTCTGCGGCGCTCGCGACTGGCGGTGCGTCGGGTGCGACGCGTCACCGTGCGTTCGTACCTGCTGGCGCTGACCATGCGCTCGGGCTCGCCGCGGCTGCTGGCGCTGCCGGGCTGGATCCCCGCGCAGTCGGACGGGGCGCTGGTGGACTACTCCGAGTGGGCCTTCGACCGCGGCATGGGTCAGGAGGCGTCCTCTCGCACCCGCTGTGCCTTGGCTGGGGGCGAGCCCGCGCTGGGAAGGCCCGTTCGGCGCCTCTTTCCCCCCGCGAACGCGTCGCTGTCAGGCGGGACGCAGCGCCCGTCGGGCCACTCCCGCCAGCCGCTGCCGCGGGCGCCTGCGCGGGCGATGGCGGCCGCGCTGGCCTCGCGGGGGAAGCCAGACTCGGGGCGGTGCGTCTTGGCGACCTTCGAGTACGACCTGGGCCCGTCGGAGACCACGACCTTGTTGGCCATGCAGTTTCTGCCAGGCAGGTGCAGAGTGGTCAGAGGGCTGCAGCAACCCCTCCTGCTCCTGCACCCAGAGGGACTTACTACCAGCTCCTGGACGGGCGAATTCGACTCCACAGTGGGGCTCGACCTTCATCGACGTCACGGGATTGGGCGCGCTGTCGCGCGGCTGCAGCTGCTTCGTCTCGGGGACGAGCTGCTGTTCGTGAGCTCGCGCCCGCAGCGCCTGGCGGACTTCCATGTTGCCTGTCAATACCTCAAGCTCGAAGGTTTGGACTGCTCGCCACACTTCCTGAGGCACGGCGACGCGACATACGTCTGCGTTGCAGGGTACCGCGCACTGCTGGAGGTGCGGAGGCGAGAAACGTGGAGGACGACTTCGCCAGTTCGGAGGTGCGACAAGGCCGGTCGGCTGGCGGTGGTCAGGCAGGCCCTCAGCAGCGCCCAGAGGAGGAGCTGCGAGATCTGGGCGGCAGCCGCCCCGCAGCTCTTCGACATCGCCCACGTGCTGCCCTCCGCGCCGGCCGCCTTGGCGAGCGGCGGGCGTTCCTGGATCTCTTCTCAGGCTCGGGTGGCCTCGCCGCCGAGCTAAGGAAACGGGGGCACGCGGTGGTTTCAATTGACGTTCTCCTGGGCCCAGAGTGCGACTTGCTGCAAGATGATGTCTTCCGCGCCCTTCGAGGCTGGCTTGAGTCTGGTATCATCTGGGGCATGTTTTCAGGCAGCCCTTGTGAAAAATGGTCACAGGCGCGCAGGGCTCCGCCTCACAGTGTGATGCCTCGTCGCTTACGGACGAAGGAGCACCTGCGAGGCCTGCGAGGCCTGGAGGGCGCCGACTATCACGATGTCGTTACCTCGAACAAGCTGGCTGACAGAGGCGCACTCTTGCTAGGCATCGCCCTGAGACGCCAGCTGCCAGCTGGAGAGGAAAATCCCGCATCTAGTTTGCTGCGGCTGCTCCCCAGCCGCCAGCGTTTTCACTCTCATGCCAATGTCCAGACTGTTGTCTTTGACTATTGCGGTGCTGGCCGTCCTTTTCGTGCGCGCGCTCGTATGGCATTCGCCAGTATATCTGTTCCGCCAGAGCTATGCACATGGCACTGTAAAGGCAGGGGTGTTTGCGCGTTTTCGAGCAAGCCGCGCCTTGTTCTGTCTGGTAAGTCCAAGGCCGGCTTCCTTACTCATCTTAAAGCTTCCTACCCCCCGCGCCTGTGCTCCGTGCTCGCTCGAGAACTTTCTCACAGTTATTTGTCTCTGCGGGCTCGCCGCCTGTGGAATTTGATGCGGTAATCCAGTGCATTGCTTGAAGACGGGGTGTATTTATGAGGATGGGTTGTGTGGGACAAACTGCCCACATGACATGTTGTCTTCGCCTCAACATTTCTCTGGAAAACAAGAATGAACATAGCAGTGTACGGTATTGTTCATTGCATTCGTCCGCTTCACTCGCTCTGTAGCCATCGCTTCTGCCCTCGCCAGCCCAAAGCCTATTTAATTGTTGCGTTCTCTGCGGGTTGTGTGGGACAAACTGCCCACATGACATGTTGTCTTCGCCTCAGCATTTCTCTGGAAAACAAGAATGGACAATCAAAATCCTCGTCGGGCCTTCCTGGAGGACCTCGTGGAGACCTCTTGGGCCGCCTTGGAGGCATCTTGCGGGCCTTTTGGACCGTCTTAGACCATCTTCAGGCCATCTTGGGCCGTCTTGGAGGCATCTTGCGGCCATCGTAGCCGTCTTGGAGGCCATCTTGGGCCGTCTTGGAGACGTCTTGGAGACCATCCTGGGCCATCTTGGCCGTCTTGGGCGCCATCTTGGGCCAACTGGAGGAAACAGATGCACGACGGACGCGTTTTGAGATCCCTTCCAGGTGGCCAGCGGGACGGGCCGAAGCCCCAGGGGGAGTTCTTTTGGAAAAAGAAGTAACACCACAACCGAGAAGGTCCAGCACGCCAGGAACCCCTGCGATGAATCGACAGGGGGCGGCGGATCTTATGGTCTCCCGCGACCGCGCCTGGGTTGTGGGCACGAAGTCTATTGGATGTTCGTTGGGATCTCGTGGGAGGCCTCTCGGGGGCCTCATGGAGTCAGTTTGGATGTCTCTTGGGGTCCGTTTTGGGGCCTCTTGGTGCCTGGTTTGGAATTCTTGGAGGCTTCTTGGGGCCTCTTGGGGGCGTCTTGGGGGTCTTTTGGGGGCTCTTGGGAGTCTGTTGGGGCCTCATGGGCACCTCTTGGTGCCTCGGGGCCTGTTGGGGCGGAAGGCTCGGTTTTTCGGTTCGTGCTCCATCTCTTAGGGCCGCATTTCGGGCCGTCTTTGGGCCCTTTTGGGCCGTTTTGGGTGCCTCTTGGGCCGTCTTGGGGCCTTTGGGGCTGTTTTGGGGCCCTCTTGAAGGCCTCTTGGGCCATCTTGGGCCAGTCTGAAGCGGCGAGAACGCCGAAGTCCTTTAACACCGATTGAAATTCTCTGGTTTTGGCCTCTTGGGGCCCTCGTGGGGGGCCTCTGGAGGCCTCTTGGGGCGTCTGGGAGACCTCTTGGGCCGTCTGAGGGCCATCTTGAGCGTCTTGGAGCGATCGTTCAGCGACTCGGGTCCCTCTTTTACCGTCTTGGGGGCCTCTTGGGGCCCTCTTGGCCCGTCTTGGGCCCTCTCTTGGTCACGCGGGGAACCGCGAGAAGTCCTGGGAGATTAGGGCTGAAGGGCTCCGAGCCCCTTTTAAGAAATCCTCAGGAGTGGCGACTGAGGGTTAGAGGGGTAGTGAGAGGACCTGAGGACACGTCGACTCCGTCCCCAGGGGCGGTGGCGGCTTATCGATGACACTCGCAATCTTACAATCAAGCGGCCTTTGTATCCATCGAACTCGATATCCATCGGCCTCAATATACTTCGACCCCGCTACCTATGTATCGATCTCACTATCGATATCCTTCTCTCGATCGACCTCACTATCTGTCGATCTCACAGTCGACTTCAATATCTCAATATCGATATCACTATCGTTCCCACTATCGGTTTCAGTACCGATCTCACGGTCGATCTCACTCAATCGATCCCACAACCGATCTCATTATCGATCTCCCTATCGACCTCCACGGGACATCACGGGAAACCGCGGGACATCGCGCCACGGGCCACCACGGAGCACCACGGGACACCAGCGGGACACACACAGGCCACCGTCGGCCAACCAGAGGGAGGAGAGACATTGAGCCCGGTTTCACTCTAGCCAGGGCGGGGTCATTCCTCTCGCCTGCCAACACCTCGCCCGCACGCACGACACGAAACCCCGACCGAGTTACGAGTGGGGAGCTCTCCGTTCCGTTGCGATCTCACCCCCGAACCTCCGATCGTCGGATCCTCAGGGGAGGGTATCAAGCTGTTGTTGCCGTTTTGGGGGCCCCCCGGCCCCCGGGATTGCAAGAAGCGCGGGCCCCCGGGGAGAGCCCCGGGACCCAGGACCCGTTTCGGATGTTGCTAGAAGTAGCCCTGGCCCAAGGTGCCCCCAGGATTTCGAAGGAGGCCCCCACGGCCTTCAGGGCACCCCTCACGAGGCCCAGGGGTTCCCAGAGACTCCAAACTGAAGCGACGAACTGGGAGTACCTTGGGCCAGGGGCACCTTCAGCAACACCCGACCGTTCTTCTCAGGACCCGGCTCGGTCTCTCTCTTGTGCCAGTCGTCGGGTGTTGCCAGGGGTGGTCCTGGCCTAAGGTCGCCCCAGCATCTGCAGGGAAGCCACGGCGGCTTCCAGAGCACTTTGATCGCGGTCCGCAGGGCCCCAGGGGCTCCAACATAGCGCGCAGAGTTGGGCACGCCCTGGGCTGGGAACACCCCTGGGCAACCTTCAGGGCGAAGGACGTCGGGTTTCGATGCGTTTGTGGACGTTCCCCACTCAGGGGAACTTCTCTTTGCCACAGCCGGATTTCCCTACCCTCCAGCACGAAGTCAAGGTGTCCTGCAGGATAGGGCTGTCCTTTTCCAAGCCATCCTGTGGTGTTGGGTTCTCGTTTTCGGTCAGCAGCTCCCCGCGTCTTCTCCTCCTCCTCCTCCTCCTCCTCCTCCTCCTCCTCCTCCTCATTCTCCTCTTTCTCTTCCTTTTCTCCTCTCCTCATCCCCCTCCCTCCTCCCTCCTCCCATCTCTGCACCCATTTCGGCACACCCCTTACACGGTCCGTGGCCCCACAGGGGGCCCCGCCAAAGGCCTCAGCGGCAACATTCGCATGGCAGGCAGCACCGCGCCAATTTGCCCCCTCCCCCCCCCCTTCCCTTCCCCCCCCCCAGTGGCGGCGTCCCTGTGGCCGCACCACGCCCACTTCGGCACCCCCCTCACACGATCCGTGGCTCCAGTGGCAGCGTCCGCATGTCCGCACCGAACTCCTTCTGGCATACCGCTGACACGTTCCGTGGCCCACTTCCTTCGTCTCACTTCCCTCGCGATATACGCAGCTGCATCTGGCCAGGTCCTTCGCCCCGATGATTTTCTTCAGTCTTCTTGCTCACAGGGCCCTTCCCGGGCCTCAGGGCCGTTGAACATTTTCTCCAGACGAGGAGCTGGCCCCATAGGGAGCCTCCGGGGTCGAGGACCCGTTTCCATGCCCCACCCCTTGCCTCTTGCGTTGCTGCCCGTCGTTGCCGTTGCCGCCGTCTCGTCCTCGTCCTCCTCGTGCTCCTGCTCCTCTGTGCCCTCCTGCTCCCGCCCTCCTCCTCCCTCCTCGTCCTCCTCGTTTTCCTCGTCCTCCCCGTCCTCCCCGTCCTCCGTGCCCGGCTTCTCCTCTGGTGTCCCTCCCGCGCCGGCTCCCGCTGCCTGCGCCTCCCTCGGCTCCCCGCCCCCGCTCCCGCTGCCGGCTGCCTGTGCCTACTCCTGGCCCAGCTGCTGCTGCTCCTCGCCCGCCCCCCTGAGGGGCGGAGGGGCATTTTGGTTGCATGTTTGGAGGGGGAGGAGGACAAGGAGGACGAGAAGGACGAGGAGGACGAGGAGGAGAAGGATGAGGAGGAGGAGGAGGAGGAGGAGGAGGAGGAGGAGGAGGAGGAGGAGGAGAAGGACCAGGAGGGGGGGGACGCGGAGGAGCAGGAGGTGGGGGACGAGAAGGACAGGAGTGTACATCCTGGGTCTGCGGGGCATTGCGGATCCTTCAGGGACGGCCGTTGGCTAATTGGGCGGCCAGCCCCGTGAGCCGTTCGGATGTCGGGGCCTGGAGACGAGGGAGGTGTTTGCTCCCCCCCCCCACCCGTTTGGTCGTTGATGAGGTTCGGGCCCGTGTGCCGGGGGGGGAGGGGCCCGTGAGGCGATGGTTGGCGGAAACGTGCCATTGGCAAATCTTTCGGAGCCAATGCAGCTTTACAATTTTCCTAGAACATCCGCTTGGCAGACCCTCGCTTCTTCAGGCCATGGGAAGGTGGCGCCTTCACAAGGCAAGCCAGTACTCGAAGATCGAATGCTGCTTTACACCAGGGGGACCGGGCCGGGTGGATGGGGCCGTGGCGGACGAGGACGAGGACGAGGAGCCTGCTCCTGCCAGCCCGCGGCCGACAGACGGGCACCATAAGTACACGGAGGAGAAGACCAGAGAGGCGGGGGAGGGTGGTGAATGCGGTTCTCCGCGACGAGGCAGGACGCAATGACATGATGATTGGTGGAGCAACAGCGCCGAGCGCAGCGGCGGTGCACATCACAAGGACACATGGACCCAAGGTGCACTTCTTTCCGCCGCGCACCCATGGACATATTCGAGCCTTTAATGCCGTCTCGCTTGCATGTGCGTCCGATGGTCAGCGACTGGATGGAGGGAGGGATGGAGTTTATGGGCGAAGGTTTTTGAGGGGCTGGCTAAAGGATGGACAGGAGAGGCGAGATAGAGCACACCAAGGCTGGGTCGGGGTTGGGCTCCACAAGTCCCGGCAACCGAGGACAGTTGTACATCCTCGGCAAGGGCGCCTCACCCAAGATATGGCAGATCCAAATTCCCCACGAGTTGGTGATGTGACCCGCAACGCGCGCCTTGCCTTCATCTGCATTCCCCCGTGCCTCAGTCCTTCCATCCATCCCCCCTCGCCCTTTCCCATCCCTCCATCCCCCTTCCATCAGCTCCCCCTCTCCTCTCTGCTCCCCCTCCCCACGCCCCCCCTCTCCTCTCATCCCGCTCCCCTCTCCCTCCCGCTCCCCTTTCCTTCGTTCCCCTCCCCCACTCCTCCTCTCTCGTCCCCCTCCCCCACTCCTCTCTCCTCTCCGCCCCACAGGCCTGCTCAGTATGAACACTACTCTCATCTCCCCCCGGATTCTGTGCGAGCGGTGCGCTTCTTCTCCCGCATACTTCCCCGCACAGGACCGCAAACATTGGTTATGCATGGTTTCCCGGATCATTTTTTTGCCAAAGGATTGGTTTGTTAAGAAGCGGGTGGGTCTGGGGATGCTCCGTCAGAGGTGGTGTTCGGCGTTCCTCTGTCCCAGGGTCTTGGGTTCTTTGTGGGCGTTCCTCGGGGTTCCTCGCTTGGATTTCTCGGGTTCCTTGCTTGTGATCCTCGCTTGGTCTCGGGGTTTCTTGGGGCTTCTCGGGTTCTCGCCTGGGTTCCTCAGCAATGCAAAGCAATGCCAAGCGACGACAAGCAATGCCAAGTAATACCTGTGAGAGCAAATACATGCTTAGCCATGCCGAGCAACGCAAGCAATGGCAATCCATGCCAAGCGCTGCCACGTAGCGCCTACCTCTGCCCAACACTGCCAAACAATACGGAGCAATTCCCAGCAATGCAAAGCAATGGCAAGCAATGCAGAGCATTGCGTTGCATGGCTCTGAACTGCTTTGAATGGCCTCGGAATGAGATAGGCTTCTAAGTCGGTTTCGCGCGAGGTTCAGGATGCCCACAGTGGTGGGAGTTCCCCCCGTCTTTGGACAACCGAGCGGCGCAAAGAAACGGGGCCGTCTTCGCAGACATTAACGCGTAGGCTGCCCGCGTAAGGTCTCGCGAAAGCGCCCTCGCTTCACCTGTGACGTGCCGCGCGGGCGGCCCGCGCAAGCCACCGCGCAAGGTCGCTGCGCCATATCGCGAAAGACCCGCTTTTGATCGTCGCTCAACTGTCATCCAGATGCGCGATCGGCTTGCTGGTGCTCCAGACGTTTCTCCCACGTGGGCGGCCGCTGGGCTACTGACGGTGCCCGGGGTCGGCGCCCCAGGACTGGTATTTATGGCCCCGCGCTCGCGTCGGGGATATGTACACGCACACACTGACACTGACACTGACACTTACAATTACACTTACACTTACACTTACACTTGCACTTATAATTACACATACATTTACACTTACACTTACACATTCATTTACACTTGCACTTGCACGTACACTGACACTTACAGTTCCATTTATATTTACACGTACGTTTACACGTACACTTACACTTACATTTACACTCGCCCTTACCCTTACCCTTACGCTTATACCGACACTGACACTGACACGGACACTTACACTTACACTTACACTTACATTTACGCTTGCATTTACACTTACACTTGCACTTACACTTGCACTTACACATACACACTCACAAACGAAACAGAGTTAAGTTGGGCATGTCCCTCTACATGATTTTGTTTGAAATTGTCAGGAAATAGGAAGGGGACGATGTTTCGACTATGTTTCGACTATGTTAGAGTACTCTTGACTATGTTTCAATTCCTCTTCAACATCCGCCTGTAAGAGGACATACCCGACCTAAAACAGAAAGGGATGCGACGTTGGGGTACATACAGCCCGACCGAGGTATAAGATCGAGGTCGAGTCGGGAAGGGTGCCCTGGTGCTCTTCGTGCCTGCTTGATGTTCTTGTGCATCCTGGGTGGTTCGGCCGGCGGAGGGTCTCATGTTCTCGAAGGCTGTTCTTCTGGCCTGGGTCCGACTGTACAGTGGCGGTGGCGCCGCTGTGCGCCCCCCACTGGGCTGCTGCGCTGGTCGGCGAAAGTCCTCTGACGTACACTGCCTCGCGTTTGTCCCACTGACTTCCCGATTGGCATCGCCTCCAGTTCGGTCGTGCCCTCGTTCGCCACCCCTTCCTGCTCGTGCTGCTCCCCTCCCTCCCTCCCTGCCTCCCCTCTCCATCCCCACCTCGCCCTCTCTCGCCCTGTTCGTTCCTCCCCTCCGCTCCCCTCCCCGTCCGCTCCATTCTCCCCCCATTCCTACTCCCTCCCTCCTCGTCTCTGTCTTCTTGCCCGTCTCTGTCTCGACGCTTCTGCTGCCCATGTCTCGCGTTCCCTCCCTCGCTGACCCTCTCGCTCCGCCTGCCCTGCCTCCGCTGTGCCCTCGCGCTGCGGACGGCGCGTGCCACATCTGATGGCAGCAGCAGGCAGCGCGGTGTTTTCCGCGCAGGTCGGCATCGAGCGGCGACGGTAGGACGGTGAGGGAGCTAGGCGACGCCAGCACAATCCCTTCTCTTTGCACGCTCGGTTTTCTTCCGCCTCGCTTGCCTTGCATCCTCCTTTCCACTCCCCCTCTTCTCACTCCGTCGCCGTTCGCCCTAGGTCTTCGCCTCCTCTATCAATATTTGCTCGCGCCTGCCCGGTGCATCCTTCATCGCCTCTTCCCTCTTCCCTGTTTCCAGTCTGCTTGCGTTCCCCCTCCCTCTTCGATCCTTTCCGGCCTCTCTCCCAGTCGTTTGTTCTCCTGCGCCGCGAGCAATTCCTACCCGCCCCTGGTGACAATCATTTGATTTCGTCCTTACGACTGGCCCCTATTGCACTGTGATGAGCAATCTGCGGGAGATGCTGACATTTAGGCAAGCTGCAAGACGCGTACACGGTTGCGCATGTTGCCGCCCCCACAATTGGGATTTGCAGCCTCTCACCTTGATTAGCTCATTAGCTTGGGGGGGTTGGGGATATTATTTTTGGACCACTCTGCTGTGCTGGAGAGCCCGCCCTCATACGAGGATGTGGAGATGGCCGCGCACGAGGATGTGGACATGGCTTCTTCCAAGGACTGGTTCATCTCGGTTGCTTTTTCGCCGCGCAGCTGCAGCAATTCATGAAGTTTTCGAAGACGCCTACGGCGAATCACCGCCTCCCCCTGCCTTTTTGGAAGCGCCTATGCGGCCGAACGTTGAGGCCAGACCTGCCAAGCTATTGGACAACGTGTTCCCCGAATCGGTTTGGAAAGCCTTCGGGAAACACGTGGGCATCTTGAAGGTCATCTTGGCCGTCTTGAGGCCATTTTGACCCTTTCGGGCCTTCTTCGAGGACGTCTTGGAGGACTCTTGGACCGTCTTGGAGGCCATCTTGAGCGTTTTGGAGACCTCTTGGGCCGTCTTGGGGGCCTCTTGGGACCGTCTTGGGGGCCTCTTGGGCCGTCATGGGGCCATCTTGGAGGCCTCGTGGATGCTCTGGGGGCGATCTTGGGGGCCTCTTGAGCCGTCTTGGACAGAGGGAAGGCTTAAAAGAAACATATGTCAAAATCATAGAAAAACCAATGGAAAATCAATGATGTTGGCCTCTTCGGGCTCTCCTGGGGGACCTCTTGGCGCCCTCTTGGGCCATTTTGAGGCCATCTTGGAGCCATCTTGGCCCGTTTTGAGGCTTGGACGATTTAGAAGGCATCCTGGTCCCTCTTGGGCCGTCTTGGAGGCCATCTTGGACCATCTTGGGCGAACTTGGAGACCATCCTGGGCCATCCTGGCCGTCTTGGAGGCCATCTTGGGCCAACTTGGGGCAACAAAGGCATCGACGGATGCGTTTTGAGATCCTTCCCGGGACCCCGGCGGGACGCGCATGAGCCCCAGGGGGAGATCTTTTGGAAAAGAACCAAAACCAAAACCGATATCTTCGAGCACGCCAAGCACCCTTGCGATGAATCGACAGGGGGCGGCGGATCGAAGACGCCTACGGCGAATCACCGCCGCCCCCTGCCTTTTTGGAAGCGCCTATGTGGCCGAAGGTTGTGGCCAGAGGCCTGCCAAGCTATCGGACCATGTGTTCCCCGAATCGGTTTGGAAAGCCTTCGGGGAACACGTGGGCATCTTGAAGGTCATCTTGGCCGTCTGGAGGCCATTCTGACCCTTTCGGGCCTTCTTGGAGCACGCCTTGGAGGGCTCTTGGGCCGTCGTTGAGGCTATCTTGAGCGTCTTGGAGACCTCTCGGGCCGTCTTGGGGGCCTCTTGGGGCCGTGTCTTGGGCCTCTTGGGCGATCTTTGTGGGCACTTGGGCCGTCTCGGGCCGTCGGAAGGCATAACAAAAAGCAAATGCCACAATCCTTCAAGAACCCATGCCAAATCAATGATTTTGGCCTTTTCGGGCCTTCCTGGCGGCCCGCTTGGAGACCTCTTGGGCCGTCTTGGGCCATCTTAGAGCCATGTTCGGCCGTCTTGGTGGGCTCCTGGTCCGTCTGACGCCGTCGGAAGCCGTTTGGGGGGCCTCTATGGGCCGACTTGGGGCCCTCTTGGAATGCTCCAGGGCCGTCTTGGAGGCCATCTTGAGCGTCTGAAAGGCCTCCTGTGCCGTCTTGGAGGCCGTCTTGGGGCCCTCTTGGGCCGCTCTGGGGCCATCTTGGAGGCCTCTTGGGCGATCTTTCGGCGATCTTTGGGGGCTCTTGGGCCGTCTCGGGCCGTCGGAAGGCCGAAAAGAAGCACATGTCAAAATCTGTCAAATACCTTAAGGAAATCAATGTTTTGGGCCTCTTCTGGCCTTCCTGGAGGCCCTCTTGGGGGCCGCTTGATCCGTCTTGGGTCAGCCTTGAGCCAACTTCGGCCATCCTGGTGGGTTCCTGGCACGTCTGACGCCGTCGGGAGCCGTCTTGGGGCGCTCTTTGGGCGCTTCGGGGCCGTCTTGGAGGCCATCTTGGGCGTCTTGGAGGCCCTCTTGGGCGTGTTAGAGGCCTCTTGGGCCGTCTTGGGGCCCTCTTGGGGCCGTCTTGGAGGCCACTTGGGCCGCCTGGGGCCCTCTTGGGGGCCTCTTGGGCGATCTTGGGGGCCTCTTGGGCCGTCTTGAGCCGTCGGAATGCCGAGAAGAAGCAAATCCCCAAATCCTTCCAGAACCTAG